AGGAAATGTTTCAATAAAATCATTTACTGTGGTCTGATGGGACCTGAATCAAGTTGCCCCCCTTTCATCTTCACAGCAGACAAAATTGGAGTCAAACATTTGACATTTATTCTGCTCTCCTTTGAAGATATTAATGAAAGCTTGAAAGGTCAATCAGCCTCCATCATTACCCAAATCTATCAAAATTGGTGTCGATAAGTAAGTAAAAGCAGTAGAAATTGTTGATTGTGCCGCTATCATTTTAAAGCTATGAATAAAAACAAAAGCTGTTCGACACAAGACTGGGGAGAAGAGGTCGACCTCTGATGACCTCTGGAAACTGTTTCAATATCTTTAAAAAGATAGCGGCACAAATATAGCACAACCATTTGCCTCTAATTTTGTCAGATTTGAAGAAGGTGGTGGGACTTCAGTGCGGTTGGGTTTGGTGGTTCTGCCTCACCCGGAGCTGCCACTCCACCAGGTCGGTTCCTGTGATCATCTCACTGACCGGATGCTCCACCTGCAGCCGGGTGTTCATCTCCATGAAGTAGAAGTCATGCTGGGCGTCCATTATGAACTCCACCGTGCCTGCAAGACGATGAACAGCATCCATTACTGTCATGTGTTCCGCGCCACCAAGGAGGTCAAAGGTCGGTGCAGCCTAACCTGCTCCCACGTAGTTCACAGCCTTGGCTGCTCTGACGGCGGCTTCTCCCAGTTTCCTGCGAACATCAGGACTGATTCCAGGCTGGGAGGAGATTCAGAAACAAAAGAAAAGAAACATGAGGTTCAGAAACACACTTTGACTCGATGTCTGGAGGGACGGAGGCAAAAAAGAGGAAAGGAGGAAGAGAAAAGAGGAAAGAAAGGGGAAGGAAGGAGGAAAAAAATTAAAAGAAGGAAGAAATGAAAATTAAATTAAAGACAAAAGAATGAAGGATGAAAAATTAAAAGGAAAGATGAATGGAAAGTAAAGCCTAGAAATATTTTTTCTTACAAATCTTTTGAGTTTTTAATAAAAACTTAAATTTCAGATTTTATTCCAGATTGCATAAAAACAAAACGCAAAATGTGACTAAAATCTGTTTATGCATTTTTTTCTATCTAGATATTTTTATCCAAATCTGATAAACAAAGAGAAAATGTGACATGAACACAAAACTTCTGAAAACACAAAAAAGACCTAAAAGACTATTATTCCTGGAAAGTTGCCCCTACTTCCTGCTGAATGAATGAATGAACGAATGAATGAATGAACGAATGAATGAATGAACGAATGAATGAATGCCCAGCGTTCCGTTACCCCTGGAGCCTCCTCGATTATCTTCTGATGTCTCCTTTGGACGCTGCAGTCCCTCTCAAACAGGTAGACGGCGTTTCCATGCATGTCCCCAAACACCTGAACCTCCACATGTCTGCAGAAAATAAATAAATGAAAAGAAAAAACAGGCATTCAAACACAACCCAACCTAAAGTTAATACCAAACACTGAGCTTCTCCTACCTGGGATCTTCAACAAACTTCTCCACCAGCATCACGTCGTCGTTGAAGGACTTCCTGGCTTCCCGTCTCGCCGACTCCAGCTGCTCCAGGAAGTCGGAGTCGGACCGAGCGATTCGCATTCCCTAAAATATTCCAGGTTGTTTCATAATGGCAATAGCTGAAATTATGAAGTTCCCTTTAGTTAACGGCTTCCTCTTACTTTCCCTCCTCCTCCACGGACTGCCTTGATCATGACCGGAAACCCGATCCGGGAAGCCTCAGCTTGCAGTCTCTCATTTGATTGGTCCTCTCCATGGTAACCACCTATGATTGGCACCCCAGCGGCAGACATGATGTGTTTTGATGTGCTGTGAATGAAAATAAGTTAATTTTTCTCAGGCTGTTTGAGTATTTCCAGTTAAAACCCCGGCCAAGGCGGGTCACCTCTTGATGCCCATGTCTCGGATGGCAGAGGATGGAGGTCCGATGAAGATGATTCCTTCCTGTTTACAAGCCTCAGCAAACTCAGTGTTTTCAGACAGAAAGCCGTAGCCTGGATGCACCGCCTGGAAACACAACGCATTCACGCAAATGTGAAACAAATCTGCTTTCTGGGGTTGTTTGCCCAAATGTGGCTTATATCCAGAGTTCGGTAGTAATTTCTTACATTTACTTGAGGAATTTTTTTTCTGGAAAATATGCCTTTGGGTGTATATTTTACTACAGTCTACTTTACTTTCACTTGAGTCATTTTATTATCAAGTATTGCTAGTTTAATTTGAGTAAAATTTCCGTATTCTGATCTTTTCACAGCTCAAATAAATGCGTGTCACTTCTGTATGTGGCGCTAAATCAGATGCATTCTGCAGTCTGATTTTATTTTATTGGGTTTTTACGTCATTGACGTCAGACGATGACGTAAAAACTGTCGTAATTCTGCACCAGAAACAACGACAAGCAGTAAATCAGAAAGTTTAGTCAATTCTCCACAAAAAGCCGTTGCTATTAATTCTGCTTTACTTAAGTTACAAAATATACATGAAAAATAAAAATCCTAATTCAGAAGCGTTACTGACGTGTGATCCGGATCTCTTGGCCACTTCCAGAACTTTCTCCATGGAGAGGTAACTCTGCTGGGAAGGAGGCGGCCCGATGTGGTACGCCTCATCCGCCTGCAAGAAACAACGTGAAGACCTGATGGAGAAAGTCATAAAACAAGAGCATTATGGGATACATGTCTGGTTTATCACCATGGCAACGTGCATGGCGTGTCTGTCTGCGTCGCTGTACACCGCCACAGAGCGGACGCCCATCTTTTTAGCTGTTCGCATCACACGGCACGCAATCTCTCCTCGGTTGGCGATCAGGACCTTTTCGATTCTTCCCACCTCTGCAGATGTTAAAGAAAAATAATCACTCTTCATCTGGAGTCTTCATAACCACACGTTTATTTTGTTTATCGTGAAGACATGCTCAAGTATTAGGTTTTTCCATTGTAAATGTATAGACCTCTCTGCAGATTTTCAGGATTTAAGGATTCATAAGAATACATTGAAATAGCCCAAAATTTCAATGGTGCCACAATGTAAAACTGAGAATAAAAAAATACTAAATTATTATTTATTCACAAACTTGAAAAATTAAAAATGTACAAAGTGAGAATCAGGACAGGAGTTTTGCATTGCAGAAATATTCATACCCTTTAATTTTCTTAAAATAGAACAAGAGAAACATGAACTGCTTTGTATTTTTATTAGGATTTGATGTGAGAAACTAACACAAAGTATAGTGCGTAACTGTGAAGTAGAAGAAAAATTGTACATGGTTTTATTTTTACAAATATCAACCAAAATAGTTTGTAACTCTCCATCTTAACGATGCCTCTCCTAAATCAAGGTAAGCCCAGTGACCAGAGCACAGCTTCTAGACCGCGAGTCTTAGATACATTTGGAGAACATTCAATCCTACCAAAATACACTGAAGTTGGTGGCTGTAACATGAAGTTAAAACATAATTACACATGAAGGTCAGCCAATGAGATTTCTGGTTTTAGAAATTAGAAGGCATATAACATAGACGCGATAAGCTAACCTGTAATCATATTCATAGTGATGATCATACATCAGTCTTATTATGGTCCAGGAATTAAACCATGTGATTGTTCCCTCACCTCCAGAAACAGACCTCACTCCTCTTTTGGGCCATGACAGCTTCCTGAGGACAGAAAACAACATCCTGGGTTTAGTTTTTTAATCTACATCGCTGTGAATATGAAGGATAATAAAAAAGATCACATCTATGCGGCCAAGATGTTAGATCAGATCATTTAGGCAAGAAAACCTCCAGATGTCAGAAGTAAACAAACTGCAGCAGCTACATTAGCATTCTGCTAACTTTTTTAACCTTGCTCAGTTCATCTCTCATCTTCTGGTTTTCACAGTGTGGATTACATCTTAATTCATGATGGAAAAACAAACAATTCGAGGAGATGATAAGTTGTGACTGTTGGAAGGGCAATGATGGCGTTTAGAGCGCATCTGAGTCCTTGTCTCAGATAGACGATAAATTGCGTGCAAACCCGAAAGCTAACACTGAAAAGCTAACAACTAAAACGGAGGAATGTTGAGGATTTCTAACCTAAGTTAACCAGGTAAGCGTTTGTACTCACTGTGTAAATATCCTCAGACTTTGCAGTGTTGGAAAACTCAAAATAACTGCAGCCATTGCTACCAGCTGCTGCTAAGGCTCCAGCTGCTAGCTACCTGCTTGTTAGACTGAGAGAACAGCAGAGGAACAAAATGCAAAGCTTTAATCTAAAAACAGATTATTTACAATCAAAATCAATAGTAATAACTGAGAACAATTCACTTAAAGAAGAAACGCTGTACAATTAAATCTCATTGAATGTTTTAATTTTAATTTAGCTTTTTAAAATTATTTTATAAATGTCAGACCCTACTGAGCACCCGTAGAGTGTTCTAGCCAATCAGAAAACGCGCTGCGGAGGTGGGGAGGATAATGCAGTTGCAAAGTGTCACCACAGGAGGGGGTGTTTTTCTGTTCCACTGATGGCAACAATAGGAAACTTACTCAAAACTTCCGTTTATTAATACCTATTTTAAAAACATATTTAATAATATGGACAAAATTTCAATTCAATTTTGTATCGGAAATAAAATAATTTAACAAGAATGACCTAAATCATGAATATGTTTAAAAAGAATAGATAATTAGTGAAATATTTGAACATATGAAAAATTACTTTTACATCTCTTGCGTCTATTTCCGGAGATTTTGAAAATTCAAAAACCTTGAAAAAAATTAAAATTTCAGAGTTCTAGAAGTAAAAAAAATTGATTGAAAAGTTTGATTGAAATATGTTGAAGGTTGTGGCTATAAACCCAAAGAAACTGTTGATGGGACTATGAGTGTTATTCCTTTAGTTTTTTCTCGTGCAGTTCCAAAGTGGGATAACAAAAGTTACTATTGATATTTCTTTATACTTCAATGTCTATTTACAGAGTAAGTTCCAGAAATGAATTTGGCTTTCAGTTTAATGTTCTTATATAAAGTTTTCCTTTTATTCAAAAGGTGAGTTGAAAAAAAATGCAATAATATGCTTTACATGAGGCAATATCTGCTCGTTGAAATTGAGCAACAACAATAAATAAAAATACTTGAGTGACAGAAACATAAACACTGATTTAAAACAAAACTGTAAAGGTTTTTGTTTACATTTTATACATTTAGAGAGTTCAAAAAGTGAAACATTAAGTTCAGAGCCTCTCATATCCTGCTGCGTGGCGATCTCTGATGAACAGGAAGCTCAGCACGACGCTCAGGATGATTCCAGTTGCTATGGACCCGATGATGACGGGAACCGCTCTGTGATTAAAATCAGCCCAGCACTCAACCTCTGACACACAAGAGAGGGAAAAACTCAACATTTAAAAATACTCAGCAGTTTCTGGTAGAGAAAAAATGCAATTTTACGATGCATCAGGTTTTCAACCCTCCTTTACCTTCTCTGAACTGCCCATCAGGAACACTGAAGGCCTGCATCTGCAGATAAACCAACTTGATCCGCAGCTCAGAGGAAACCGAAAGGAGGGACTCTGATGCACACTTGAAACTTTTGTCATTTGCTGCTTTGAAAAGCATCTGGTTAGACAGAAACCCAGAATATGTTTTATCTGTGAAGAAAATAAGGCATTAAAACGTAAACAATTCATATTACTGCTCCAGATTAAATGCTTTCTGTAATATATCTGAACTCTCACTCGGGCATCCTTTGCAAACAGGGAGAGGGAACAATTGAGCCTCCAGTTTGATGACGTAGAAATTGTGTTTATCCTGTTGGAAAAATAACCAGACAATGAAACTTTACACACAAATTAACATGTTAAGAAAATCCTAAGCAGTTAAACTGGTTCCTGTTTTGTTACTTTTCTGAAGGTGAATTCCAGACGTGCAGAATTATCCGGCAGCCTGAGGGAGAGAAGAGCTTCGTCTTTGCTGCATTCACCTTTCAACACAACCCTGGACGGATCAATGCTGAAATACCAGTTTGTCTGGAGAGAAACGCTTCGAGTTATATTCACTAATAATTCCTGCATTTTGTCATAAGAATCTCAAAACTGATACTGCATTTAATTCCACGTGTCAAAGTCAAGGTGCGAGGGCCAAACGTGGCCCGTCATAGCTTCCTTTGTGGCCCTCTCTAGACTCAAGAAGGAATCATAAATATAACTTTCCAGACAACAGTTCTGTCCTGAAATGTTATTTTGTCAATCAAATCAAAGAAATTTTTAACTGCTTACTTACAAATTACATCACATAATCCCTCCAGTGTTTTGCAATTCTGTGATCACGTAGATTCACAGAAAATCAACAAATTCCTGCATTTTTTTCACGCTAATGCATAATTGCGAGTTTATTGCAAATGTTCTGCAACATGTCAAAAACATTGGGTTAAAGTTACATTTACCGTCATACATAGGAACAAATATCGCAAAATATTTTTGAAATATTTAGAATTAGCGCCACAAAAAGTGATTTTGACTTCAAAATAAAAACAAACAAAATAAAACAATCACAAAATTCTGGGGGGGGGATCAAAGTTAAATGATGTTCGATATTTAATTGTAAGAATTACATGTCAAAAGCAGATTTATTTATTAATACTTTAGCAGTTTCAATGTATTGTGTCAGAACCAACGCAGAATAAAAATGAGTTTGACACACAAACACACACTGCTGAATCCTGCAAAGCTTCTCACCTTGTTTTCGATAACAACATACTCTGCTCCCATGTTGGCTTTAATGCACGGCTGCCCAGCTTGATTTCTCACCATGTAGCTTCCTGAGGATGCAACAAATGCAAGTGCATTAAATCTATGGTTGAGCCAAGCAAACAATAATTTACTGTCTGAATATGTTTGTTTTTTTATCCTTTACATCGTGTTAAGCTACACTCAACAAATGACATGTAGTATTATTTCATAGCTAAAATACTACAGATAGTTGTTGGGGCTTGGTGTACTCAAAGTTTAAACTGGCGCATGAAAATGCCTGCAAACAGATGCACTAAAACAAACATCTTTCCTCAATGTAATGTAACCTGGTTGTATTTCTCTTTTCTGATAATTACACAAAATGTCTTTTTTTGGTTATTTGTATTGTTTCTTATCTCTAAACAAACTGAAAAAACCCTTTAAAAACGCTCATTGTTTTAACCGTGTTACTTTGAGAGCGGAAGCCCCGCCTTACTATTTCTTCTTCGGTGGTATCGACTTTAAATTGTTTGTTACCTCAGACTCTCCCATATTGTGTCGTGTTCCTGCTAGAGAGGTATGTACTGTTTATTTTTTGTCTAAATACACACAGTTTCTTCATAGATTTATTAAGTTAATTTCTGTTATGTGCTTTTATTTTGGAGCAGGAAGCCTATAAAACGGCTGTTTTCTGTTTGTTCTCGTCAAAATAAGTCAAGAGACCCATCTTTTTTTTTTTTTTAAAGACGAACCGTGTCGCGGCCTGATTACAAAGTAAACCAGCAGAACGCAGAAAGGATCCTGTTACAGTAAGTCGCCAACAAAACACTCTTAGTTTTTTTCGCAGCAGCCATTTTAGAGACGCAGCAGTAAAAACCAACCAATCATTCCGCGCCCCTCGGGTTGCTAGGAGACGGTTGCTGGGTAACGGGACAGCGCCCACGAAATGCTGCTTAACTTTCCGTTTTTCTAACTGCTGAAGGTTCAGCGTTAACTTACTGAGAAAAACAGATGGGGGAGGGGAGGTGCTTAAAGCCCTTTTATTATTTTCTGAAAAATAATATATATTTTTTAAAAACGTGCAAAATGTGAATATGCTCCAAAATGTTAGCGATGAGCCCTGAAGCTCATTTTCAGAAGAATGAAACCTGAAAATGAGCTTCGGGGCTCATCGCTAACATGTTTAGGAGCTAACAATTGAGCCCTGAAGCTAACATTGAGCTTCAGGGCTCAATGTTAGCGATGAGCCCTGAAGCTCATTTTCAGAAGAATGAAACCTGAAAATGAGCTTCGGGGCTCATCGCTAACAATTGGAACATGTTAGCTCCAAGACAACTCATTCTTCAAGAATGAGCCCTGAAGCTCATTTTCAGAAGAATGAAACCTGAAAATGAGCTCCGGGGCTCATCACTAAGATGTTTAGGAGCTAACAATTGAGCCCTGAAGGTAAAATTGAGCTTCAGGGCTCAATGTTAGCGATGAGCCCTGAAGCTCATTTTCAGAAGAATGAAACCTGAAAAAGAGCTTCGGGGCTCATCGCTAACATTTGGAACACGTTGGCTCCAAAATGTCAGCAATGAGCCCTGAAGCTCATTCTTGAAGAATCACTCAATCAATCAATCAAATTGAGACCTGAAAATGAGCTTCGGGGCTCATCGCTGACATTTGGAACATGTTAGCTCCAAAACAACTCATTCTTCAAGAATGAGCCCTGAAGCTCATTTTCAGAAGAATGAAACCTGAAAATGAGCTCTGGGGCTCATCACTAACATGTTTAGGAGCTAACAATTGAGCCCTGAAGGTAAAATTGAGCTTCAGGGCTCAATGTTAGCGATGAGCCCTGAAGCTCATTTTAAGAAGAATGAAACCTGAAAATGAGCTTCGGGCTCATCGCTAACATTTGGAACACGTTAGCTCCAAAATGTTAGCGATGAGCCCTGAAGCTCATTGCTAACATTTGGAACACGTTAGCTCCAAAATGTTAGCGATGAGCCCTGAAGCTCATTTTCAGAAGAATGAAACCTGAAAAAGAGCTTCGGGGATCATCGCTAACATTTGATACACATGGGCTCCAAAATGTTAGCGATGAGCCCTGAAGCTCATCGCTAACATTTGGAACATGTTAGCTCCAAAATGTCAGCAATGAGCCCTGAAGCTCATTCTTGAAGAATCAGTCAATCAATCAATCAAATTGAGACCTGAAAATGAGCTTCGGGGCTCATCGCTGACATTTGGAACACGTTAGCTCCAAAACAACTCATTCTTCAAGAATGAGCCCTGAAGCTCATTTTCAGAAGAATGAAACCTGAAAATGAGCTTCGGGGCTCATCGCTAACATTTGGAACATGTTAGCTCCAAAACAACTCATTCTTCAAGAATGAGCCCTGAAGCTCATTTTCAGAAGAATGAAACCTGAAAATGAGCTCCGGGGCTCATCACTAACATGTTTAGGAGCTAACAATTGAGCCCTGAAGCTAACATTGAGCTTCAGGGCTCAATGTTAGCGATGAGCCCTGAAGCTCATTTTCAGAAGAATGAAACCTGAAAATGAGCTTCGGGGCTCATCGCTGACATTTGGAACACGTTGGCTCCAAAATGTTAGCGATGAGCCCTGAATCTCATTGCTAACATTTGGAACACATTAGCTCCAAAATGTCAGCAATGAGCCCTGAAGCTCATTCTTGAAGAATCACTCAATCAATTAATCAAATTGAGACCTGAAAATGAGCTTCGGGGCTCATCGCTGACATTTGGAACACGTTAGCTCCAAAACAACTCATTCTTCAAGAATGAGCCCTGAAGCTCATTTTCAGAAGAATGAGACCTGAAAATGAGCTTCGGGGCTCATCGCTAACATTTGGAACACGTTAGCTCCAAAACAACTCATTTTTCAAGAATGCCCTGAAGCTCATTTTCAGAAGAATGACACCTGAAAATGTTAGAGATGAGCCCTGAATCTCATTGCTAACATTTGGAACACATTAGCTCCAAAATGTCAGCAATGAGCCCTGAAGCTCATTCTTGAAGAATCACTCAATCAATCAATCAAATTGAGACCTGAAAATGAGCTTCGGGGCTCATCGCTGACATTTGGAACACGTTAGCTCCAAAACAACTCATTTTTCAAGAATGAGCCCTGAAGCTCATTTTCAGAAGAATGAAACCTGAAAATGAGCTCCAGGGCTCATCACTAACATGTTTAGGAGCTAACAATTGAGCCCTGAAGCTAACATTGAGCTTCAGGGCTCAATGTTAGCGATGAGCCCTGAAGCTCATTTTCAGAAGAATGAAACCTGAAAATGAGCTTCAGGGCTCATCGCTAACATTTGGAACACGTTAGCTCCAAAATGTTAGCGATGAGCCCTGAAGCTCATTTTCAGAAGAATGAAACCTGAAAATGAGCTTCAGGGCTCATCGCTAACATTTGGAACACGTTGGCTCCAAAATGTTAGCGATGAGCCCTGAATCTCATTACTAACATTTGGAACACTTTAGCTCCAAAATGTCAGCAATGAGCCCTGAAGCTCATTCTTGAAGAATCAGTCAATCAATCAAATTGAGACCTGAAAATGAGCTTCGGGGCTCATCGCTGACATTTGGAACACGTTAGCTCCAAAACAATTCATTCTTCAAGAATGAGCCCTGAAGCTCATTTTCAGAAGAATGAAACCTGAACATTAACTTCGGGGCTCATTGCTAACATTTGGAACACGTTAGCTCCAAAATGTTAGCGATGAGCCCTGAAGCTCATCGCTAACATTTGGAACATGTTAGCTCCAAAATGTCAGCAATGAGCCCTGAAGCTCATTCTTGAAGAATCAGTCAATCAATCAATCAAATTGAGACCTGAAAATGAGCTTCGGGGCTCATCGCTGACATTTGGAACACGTTAGCTCCAAAACAACTCATTCTTCAAGAATGAGCCCTGAAGCTCATTTTCAGAAGAATGAAACCTGAAAATGAGCTTCGGGGCTCATCGCTAACATTTGGAACATGTTAGCTCCAAAACAACTCATTCTTCAAGAATGAGCCCTGAAGCTCATTTTCAGAAGAATGAAACCTGAAAATGAGCTCCGGGGCTCATCACTAACATGTTTAGGAGCTAACAATTGAGCCCTGAAGCTAACATTGAGCTTCAGGGCTCAATGTTAGCGATGAGCCCTGAAGCTCATTTTCAGAAGAATGAAACTTAAAATGAGCTTCGGGGCTCATCGCTAACAATTGGAACATGTTAGCTCCAAAATGTTAGCGATGAGTCCTGAAGCTCATTGCTAACATTTGGAACACATTAGCTCCAAAATGTCAGCAATGAGCCCTGAAGCTCATTCTTGAAGAATCACTCAATCAATCAATCAAATTGAGACCTGAAAATGAGCTTCGGGGCTCATCGCTGACATTTGGAACACGTTAGCTCCAAAACAACTCATTCTTCAAGAATGAGCCCTGAAGCTCATTTTCAGAAGAATGAGACCTGAAAATGAGCTTCGGGGCTCATCGCTGACATTTGGAACACGTTAGCTCCAAAACAACTCATTCTTCAAGAATGAGCCCTGAAGCTCATTTTCAGAAGAATGACACCTGAAAATGTTAGCGATGAGCCCTGAAGCTCATTGCTAACATTTGGAACACATTAGCTCCAAAATGTCAGCAATGAGCCCTGAAGCTCATTCTTGAAGAATCACTCAATCAATCAATCAAATTGAGACCTGAAAATGAGCTTCGGGGCTCATCGCTGACATTTGGAACACGTTAGCTCCAAAACAATTCATTCTTCAAGAATGAGCCCTGAAGCTCATTTTCAGAAGAATGAGACCTGAAAATGAGCTTCGGGGCTCATCGCTAACATTTGGAACATGTTAGCTCCAAAACAACTCATTCTTCAAGAATGAGCCCTGAAGCTCATTTTCAGAAGAATGACACCTGAAAATTAGCTTCGGGGCTCATCGCTAACATTTGGAACACGTTAGCTCCAAAACAACTCATTTTTCAAGAATGAGCCCTGAAGCTCATTTTCAGAAGAATGACACCTGAAAATTAGCTTCGGGGCTCATCGCTAACATTTGGAACACGTTAGCTCCAAAACAACTCATTCTTCAAGAATGAGCCCTGAAGCTCATTTTCAGAAGAATGACACCTGAAAATTAGCTTCGGGGTTTATCGCTAACATGTTTAGGAGCTAACAATTGAGCCCTGAAGCTAACATTGAGCTTCAGGGCTCAATGTTAGCGATGAGAACTGAAGCTCATTTTCAGAAGAATGAAACCTGAAAATTAGCTTCGGGGCTCATCACTAACATGTTTAGGAGCTAACAATTGAGCCCTGAAGCTAACATTGAGCTTCAGGGCTCAATGTTAGCGATGAGAACTGAAGCTCATTTTCAGAAGAATGAGACCTGAAAATGAGCTTCGGGGCTCATCGCTAACATTTGGAACATGTTAGCTCCAAAACAACTCATTCTTCAAGAATGAGCCCTGAAGCTCATTCTTCTGGAAAGTTCTTCCAAAGAAAAGTTCAGACAGTTTGAGAAAACCTCAACAATGGCGCCAACACTTCCTAACGAGGCCTGTGCCATCGTCTTTGCATCTTATTTATTAATAGTTGTTCTTGTCATAATTCAGGTGACTGGGCTCACCAGGTGTGGGAATGGTTTCTTTCTGTTGAAGAACAGGCCTGCAGAAAATCTCCTTAGTGCTGCTGTTCCTCTGTAGGTGGAGACCTGATAGAGAAGGAACTTTGTCACTTTTTCTCCTGTAAGTTTATTAATTTGACACTGCAGCAGAAACAGCTTGAGAAAGTGTGAGGATGTTAGTAAAATGTTTAAAATTAAAATGGAATATACTTTATTATCCCCTAGGGGAAATTTGTCGTGGTAGCAGTGACTCAATCAAAAATAAATACACATACAATATATATAAACAGCTAGAAATGTAGACTACATACAGAACTGTTTAAAAATAACAGACAATTACACCAGAAGGAATACAAATATATCTTGTTCCTGGGGTCTCTGAAATTTAGACACCTATACAATTCAAGAATTGTCCAAAATTTTGTCACTGCAACAAATTGTTGGTGCAAATGGACAAGTTTTATATTTTTATACTCTTTTTAGGAAAAATGTTCACTTACAGGAGTTAAAAAAAAAGATGTAGACAAATCCAAATATTCTGAAAGTGAAAAAGTTTCAAAAAGCACAAAATATTTGTCCTTAGTTCAGCAAATGTTCATTTACTTATTAATTTCATAGTAATTGAATCACAACCATGCAGTCAGTGCCTATTTTTTTTTAAATGGAGAACAATGGACCAAAAAACTGCCAACATTTTTCATGAGACAAAATGTCTGCAGACTGCTCACATCCTGGACACAAACTGTCTAGACTTTCACCTTGAAGTTGGAACTAGAGAGCTGTCTCTCTCATGAAGAGAGCCATATTCAATACATTTCATATCTACATTAATTCAACCTTGTTTTCCTCTTTTGAAAAAAAAAAAGACACTGTACATATCCATACTTAAAGAGAAAATATATATGTATATTTTTATTTTTACAGTTTTAAGATATTTAATTCAATGTTTTCATTGAAAGCGAAGTTAAGTTATATTTCTTGTTTGTGTACACAAACATGGCAAATGAAGCTGGTTCTGTGGAAACACTGCAGTTGTTTTCTTGTGGCTTAAACCCAGAGTGAGAAAGCACTAAACTGAGAGACCAGCGAAGCTATCGTCACTGTATGGGGGAGAAAAAAACAAGATAAAACTGAATATTTTATGCATAAACATGGATTTGTGTAACAAAGTCTGACTTGGTATCAGACTTCATCTGGCTAATCGGAACTAGAATCTGTATTTCTACCCTTCAGTGGTTTTATGAAAAAAATGTAATCGCACATCAAAAGAGAAACCACAAAGTCTGACCTAGATCCTCATTTTAAACCAATAACATGGTGAAAAAACATCAAACTTACCTGGAAGAAAAGCAATTAAAAGAAAAATGACCTGAATGCTCATATGGAAATTTAGCTGCATGGTTAGAGAAGAAATGTGACGGTAGATAGGAGACAGATAGGAAGTGCAGCTGTGGTTTGCTTCGTAAATGCGAGAGCAGCTCAACACTTATGAGGCTTAAGAAGAGAGACCGCAGAAGCACAAAGTCAGTTGAAAGGTGTGTCTGCATCATCTGAATTTTCCATTTAATGAGTAAATTATGGATGAGAAATTGTAATGCAAGGTGTGAACGTGAACTCAATAAACGGTAAAAATAAACATGTCAAATTTAACGCCGGTTTTCCCTTTGTCTTTAAATGGGCTTAGCAAACTCTCCTCGTTAGAGAGGCAAGAGACAGAAAGCATCAGCTTGTTGTATGAAGAGAAAGTTGGTTCTTGTTTGATTTCTTTTGTCAGATTTAACTTAATAATATACTTAAAAGTACCATATTTATTCTACTTTTGGTTTTTTGTCCAACTTAAATGTTCCAAACAATCAATAAAACTTGAATACCTACAAAATGATGTTAAAATGCTGATTAAATTTAAGGGAAATAGTACAGGAGCTGAAAGAAACTCTAAAATGCTCACACACACTAAAAAGCCCCAATGCATAATGCTTAAATCACAGAAAATAAAAGTAGAAACTGTTGGAGAACTGAAAGATGCTAAACTCTTAAATATATAGGTAAACAAATAACGCTCTGAGACGTGATTCTTTTGCTGCTGGCCACAACGGGTTAGTGTTGTATTATTTCAGACATTTGCTCTAGAAACTAGACCAAAAATACTTGTTAAAAGTTTGTGTTTTGCAGTGTAAGCTTTAAATTATATCTTTTTAAACATCTCAAACACACCAGACATGGAGGAATACAAAGAAATCTTTGTTTTTTGAATCACACCAAAAATAAAACCAAAAATCAGATTCTGCAGCATCTTAAATCCCAACTAGAACTTCTTCAGAAGAATTAAGCTCCTTTAATTTACCACATTTCCCAGTAATCTTATACTTCACAGTATGTTTTAAATCTAAATGGTGCAGAAGGGACTTATGAACTGTAAACAGGCAAACTGGGGGCAGATCCACAGAAAAGATTTCGTAATCTGTTGATCTTGGTGGTGGGAGCTCTCCTTGTTTGACGGATAGTTGGTGGGGAAATCAGAGTGGCTGGGGTTAAAGGTCGACGAGGACAAAGTTGCAAGTAAAACCGACTCAAAAACCGCAGCGATCCTGTAAACACAAACGTCACAGACAAATTCAAATCTGTGTTTTTAGACGTGACTTTATGTCTGATTCAGAGCGTAATGAGAGGAAGTTTGGCGTCTTGCTTCCGTTGCCTTTGCCTCTGAAATGGACTGATGTATTGACTGGACATGTGGGAGGGCAAACAGAAGAGCAAACATTTACTCCTCTTTTACTAACTGAGCGAGGCGGGCATTGTCCTGTGTGTGTGTGTCCTTTGTGCCCTTTGTGTCATCATCTGGAAACGCGAGAGAGGAGTCGGGATTTTCACTGTCTGCCAGCTTTGGAGCAATTCGACTGGAGAAGCTTGGTTTGTGAGGTGAAAATCCTGATAATTATCTTTTTCTGTGGTTTGCAGAAAGCGGTCACCAACGTGCATGATGAGCAGCGCAGTGGGGCTGTTTGCCGCGGCTCTGCTGTGTTTCTGCAGCGCTGCGTTCGGGCAGGTAAGAAACAAAAAACATGACAAATGAGAGAAGAAGAGCTTTAAGACGTGAGAAACTCTTCAGTGACTGAAAGAAAACAAACATTTTTCAGTTGTTTGATTTATAACGAGCTTAAAAACGACGACAGTGAAAAAACTGGTTTATTGGTTAATTGGTTTAGTTTCTAGTGTGAATATCTTAGTACATTTGAATCAAAACAAAACAAACTTAAAAGTAACTTTTCAGGAAGATATAGAGCGGTGTTCAAAGTGCGGCCCGAGGGCCATTTGTGGCCCTTCAACTGATTATTTTGTGGCCTTCGACTGCAGTTCAAGAATAATACAAATTTGTTTATTTTAATCGATGGTAAAAACATGATTTGCAATAGAAAATGTTAAATAAAACAAAAAGTATTTGTCTCTTTACTTGTATCAGAATCAGAACCACGCTGACTTTGGGGCACATAATTCGACTTTTATCAAATGTATTAAACTCATCTAAACGTTTTGAAATGAAACAAATCCAGTTCTTATAACTGACATTTAATTTGTTGACTACGCCTAAAATAATTTAAAACTAGATGATTTAATACAGCAAGTGAGCAAAATACTTTTGAACATTTTTTATATACGATGAAAAACATCAACTTTCTTCAAGACAATAAATAAATATAATAAATAACATAAATAACTTTATTTGCTTGTAGGTTTATTTTGTGCTTTTGACTGAATGAGTTTGACCCACAAAAAATTTGGACACCGCTGATTCAGGAGTTAATTTTCAGTAAATAATATTGATAAAAAAGTTCTAGTGGCAAATTATTTAATTTAAAACAAGATATTTTCCTAAAGTGATAATACGGGACAAATGTATACAACCTGTGATTATATATTGAGTTGGTGAGTTATAAGCAAATTTATAAGCAATTAGATCCAAAGGAGAAATCAAATTATCCTGAAACTCGTCAATAAATGAAGGAAATCTGTAAATTAATAATTACTATATTTAGGGCCAATTTATTCATTTTACCAGCTTCTGAGCGAATTAGTTTGTGATGTCAAAGGAACTGAAGTCACTATTTACAACATATGGAAATAAAAAAATACATCGTTACTGCTCAGGAAAACCTTCATTACTTAATTCATTAAACTTAAATATTAAAAAATATATAGAGATAATTTCTTAAATTGAGCATTTTATTGTAGACGCCTATACTCAAAAAATAATTTTAAGCTGCTGATGTTTTTGTGAAGCAAAAAACTGTTTAAATTTGTTGTTGCTTTTCAAATAACTTGCATATAAAAGTAATTACATCTGGTTCTTATTGTATTATTATTATTATATTAAATGAGGCAAAACCTGAAGCGCAACTTGCGCAAACGTCATTGTTTTTTTAATGACATATAATCACACTGTCATCAGCATAAAAGGAAACCAAAATATTAAAAAATAAACAGTGAGATGTGATTTTCAGGCAAAAACAAAACATTACCCACTATTTTGGTCGAGTTTCTAGTCTAAATATCTTAGTACACTTTAAATGAGACAAAAATAACTTTTTCCTTACTATTGATTTAAAAAAATTCTAGTTTCACTGGCAGAGTACTTATAATAATGCACAAAGAATACTTTTAAAAAATAATAACAGTCAGGTAATTTAGTGTAAATATCTTATTACACTATAAATAAAACAAACTTCTTTACAAGTAACTTTTCTGCAAGAAATAAGAGTTTTTTTAAGTGAATAATTCCTTAATATTGATTAAAAAGTTCTAGTTCTTTTGGCAGATTAATTCACCAATAACAGAATATTTTTCCCATGTTAAAAATTAAATAATTTAGTAATAAACTAGTAATTTTTCATCAGTATTATAGAATCAGTAACTTGAAACAAGCTATTTCCTTTTGGAGAAAAGTTATTTGTAGGCTTTTCCACTACAATGTTTGGACTAAAACTAAAAATACTTGGTAAAATTTTGTGTTTTCTGAGTGTCAGCACAATCACATCAAAAATAGAGAAAAATGATGATTATGTCTTAGGAACCACATGAATCATTCACTTACAGATGATTTCATGAACCAAGTGGTTTCACTTTATCGCTTTCTGTGAAGTCCTCAATAAAGATTATACTTTAAATTTAATTTGTGCAAATGTGTCATAAATGGCTCAAATGTTCAAAAGAAATGTACTTTTCTCTCTTAAAATAAAGATGTAATCTTTAGTGTGAGAGTTTGCCGTGAAGGTTTCTTGTTTTGCTGTGGTTTGGTCCAGGCGGGCGCGGACGGCCAGCCAGGCGTTCTGGTTTTCTGTGACGACCCTTCGGTGCAGAAGGCCGTCACCAGCGCCCTGCACGACTTCAACAGCAAGCTGACCGTCGGACAAAAGCTGGCTCTGTTTGAGGTCACAGTGGCCAAGAAGGTACAGCGCAGCAGAGCTCGTGATCTCATTAATATTCATGACCTGATTACTTTCATAATCTCATTATTATTGTTCTGTAGTTCAGAAACATGACATGTGATGAAGTCATGTTTCCATAATCTTGATTTGGACATAAATTGCAACTTTTGTTGAATTTACAAATTATTTGTCAAAACAAATTCCTGAAAAATTCTGTTTGACCCTTTGACCTTTGCTACATGTTGATTGCAGAGTTGTGAAGTAACTGGTTAAATTTACTCTGGTAAGTTTACTTGAGTAACTTTTTGGAAAAGAAATAATACTTTTAGGAGTATTTTTACACTGCTGCACTGCAAAAACAAAATGTTGTTGGTTTTGTATAATGACATGATCATCAGCATAAAAAGACACCAAAAATCTAATAAATAAACGGGCTGGATGTAATTTCCAGGCTTGTTCACTGAAAAAACACAAAATCTTACTAAGTAATTTCCAGTCTAATTTCTAGTGCAAATGTCTTAGTTCACTTGAAATGAGACAAACTAACTTAAGTAAGTTTTTAGCAAGATTTAGGAGATTTTATTAGGTAAATAATTCTTTAATATTGATAAAAAAAATTTTTTTTCACTGGCAGATTATTTCACTTATAACAAGATGGTTTTTAAGATTATTTTTAAGTGAAATAATCTGCCAACGGAACAAGTATTTTTTCATTATTATTAAGGAATTATTTACTTAAAACAAGTTCTGATATTTTGCTTTAAAGTTACTTTAAGTTGGTTTTGTTTCATTTAAAATATTTCCATTAGAAACTAGACCAAAAATATTTTGTAAGATTGAGGGTTTTTGCACTAGAGTAGTAAAAATACTCCTAAAAGTTGGGGTTATTTTTCTCTTACTTGAGACATTTTTTATTTTTTTGGATATTTGAACTTTACAGATTTCTTTTTTTGCCCAATTTTATTTTGTATTTTTGTTATTTATTTAGATCTTTTAATTATAAACATTTCCAACAACCTTACATTTTGGTCCGTTTGATGTTGTAATTTTTCAATATTAAAATATTGTTTCGATTGATGAGATTTTTTCAACAAATAAAATGTCACAAATTTTCTGCTGGGTTTTTTTGTTTGTTTTTTAAAGAAATTTTGTTATATTAATTTCAAACTTACCATCTTTTCTTGAAATTTTTAAACTTGTCAAGCTCAGATTTTTGTTTTTTTTTTCTGTAAAATTTCTAACATTCATTTCAAAATGTTAGTTTTTTCTCAGAAAAAAATAACATTTTGAAAATGAAATTTTAATTTTTTTATTTTTTATTTATTAATAAATGTTTTTTTTATTTGTTTTACAAATATTTAATCTCAACATTTCTGAGTTTTTATAGCAAATTTTAGACTTTTGGACCTCATAAATTGGGAGTATTGTGATTGTTTTGGCCCTAATTTTCTGTTGCATGACTGAGGGTTTGTATACAGACGGAGGACGGATCCGACTCCTTGTACTACCTGGAGTTCACCAGCAGGCGGAGTGACTGTCCAGCAGGGGGGAGCAAAAACTGGACAGACTGCGACTATCTTCCCACTGGAGCTCTGGTAACGACATTAAAATTATTAAAGGATATTAAATAAAAAATAAAAAATAAAAATTCTCTCACTCATAATATTTGTGTCAGGACAAAGTTTAAGTTTTAAAACTTAAACTCTACGATGTTTTTCCTCCAGGCAGCAATTTCATGCAACGCGACAGTCTACGTGAATGAGAAAGTAACCTTCACTAAAGAGGTGTATTGTAATATTGGTGAGTGAATGATCTGACCAGAAACTGGACTTTGTACAGCATAAACAAAGTACTTTTCAGCAAGAAATAGGAGCTTGTTTCAGGTCAATTATTACTTTATAATGGCAGATTATTTCACTTTTAACAGCACATTTTTCCCATGTTATAAGTGAAATAGAGTCTCAGTATTACTGGGACTTTTCCATGAATGCTTCTGGTCAAAAGATCTAAACTGCAACGTTGTCCAAAAGGTTGACTTTGGGACAATATTTGAACTTTTTCCACGTGTTGCAAACTGCAAATTGGACATCAACATGATCTCTCCATTTAATTCTCATCAACATTCTCACTGCAGTCTTGAATTACGAAACATTACTCTCGTTTATTGTGTGCGAAAAGTCCAATATCTGAACGTTCCTACAGAATCACGTGTTAGATTAAATAAATATTGTGTTCTTCTGCCACATCATTTTGCTCTAAAACGAATTTAAAATAGGGAAAACATGTACTGATGAATGTGGAGAAACCAAGGTTGTGAAATAGATTGAAGCAAATAAGAAAAGGCCAACATTAACCTCTCACTGCATGGAAAACAGCAGCATGTAGACTTTAATCTGTTTGCTTCATTTGCCCCAGGCGGAGGCAAATGCAAACAGATTCTTTCAAAGCGTGAGGCAACAATTTCCAGGATCAACATGGAAAATTTCTTCTTTTATAAAACACATTTTTCTGCTGAAGAGTTTAAAGTCTGTGTCATTTGTTCATTGTTTTAAATTATACCAGCTGAATCTGAACTGCTGATGTTTAGATTTTACACATTTTGAACTGATCTGAAGGAAAGAAGATGTCAGTTGCTAAAAATATAAACATTTGCTGGTAAACAGTAAAGAAGTGATGAAAACACGGAACTTAAAACATTTTGGTGGTTTTCTGCCCCCTAGTGGTTTTTCTCATTTATTTTCTGTTTTGTTCACTTTAAACACTCAAAACATCCTAAAAATTATTGATTTATCTTTTGAACTCTACAAAAAACAATAACTCTTAGGATGTCATTTTTGTCTAGTGCAAAAAAAAAAAAAAAAAACCCCTCAGCCAAATTATCAACAAGACTGGCTACGGATACCGACTCAAAATGGGGCCAACATCAGTCACCTCCTCTACATGGATGACATCAAGCTGTATGCCAAGAGTGAGCGAGACATCGACTCACTGATCCACACCACCAGGATCTACAGCACGGACATTGGGATGTCATTCGGACTAGAGAAGTGTGGTCGGCTGATCACAAAGAGGGGGAAGGTGATCCGCACAGAAGGGGTCTCACTCCCACAAGGAACAATAGCAGACATAGAGGACAGTTACAAGTACCTAGGTATACCACAAGCAAATGGCAACCTCGATGAGGCCACAAGGAAAGGAGCCACAGCTAAATACCTCCAACGAATAAGGCAAGTCCTGAGAAGCCAGCTCAATGGCAAGAACAAAATCAGTGCGATAAACAGCTATGCCCTGCCAGTAATCAGATACCCTGCTGGAATAATTAGCTGGCCAAAGGAGGAGATAAAAGCCACAGATATTAAGACTAGAAAGCTACTAACCATGCATGGAGGGTTCCATCCCAAATCCAGCACCCTGAGACTATACACGAGCCGCAAGGAAGGAGGCAGAGGACTAGTGAGTGTGAGAACCACTGTCCAGGACGAAACAACTAAGATCCATAAATACATCAGGGACAAAGCCTCAACAGACAATGTGCTCAGTGAATGTCTCAGACAACAGGGAACAGAGGTTGAGGTGCCAGAGATACCATCATGGGAGGACAAGCCCCTACATGGGATGTACCACCAGCAAATAACCCAAGTGGCTGATATCAGTAAATCCTACCAATGGCTGGAAAAAGCTGGACTCAAGGACAGCACAGAGGCCCTCATCCTGGCCGCCCAGGAACAGGCCCTAAACACCAGAGCAATAGAGGCCCAGATCTACCACACCAGACAAGACCCAAGGTGTAGGTTGTGCAAGGAGGCCCCTGAGACAGTCCAGCACATCACAGCAGGGTGCAAGATACTGGCAGGGAAAGCATACATGGAACGACATAACCAAGTGGCAGGCATAGTGTACAGAAACATCTGTGCAGAATATGGACTGGAAACCCCAAGATCAAAGTGGGAAACACCCCAAAGGTGGTGGAGAACGCCAGAGCTAAGATCCTGTGGGACTTCCAGATCCAGACAGACAAAATGGTAATGGCGAACCAACCAGACATTGTCGTAGTGGATAAACATCAGAGGAAAGCCGTTGTGGTAGATGTAGCAATACCAAGTGATTGCAACATCAGGAAAAAGGAGCACGAGAAACTGGAAAAATACCAGGGCCTCAGGGAAGAACTGGAGAGGCCTGGAAGGTGAAGACCACAGTGGTGCCTGTGGTCATCGGGGCCCTCGGGGCAGTAACCCCCAAACTGGAGCAGTGGCTACAACAGATCCCAGGAACAACATCAGACATCTCAGTCCAGAAATGTGCAGTCCTTGGCACAGCCAAGATACTGCGCAGAACCCTCAAGCTCCCAGGCCTCTGGTAGAGGACCCGAGCTCAGAGGATAAGAACCACCCGCGGTGGGTGAGAAGGGAATTTTTTATATATATATATATAAATATATATAAATATATATATATATATATATATATATATATATATATATATATATATATATATACACACACTAAAATAAAACAAACTAACTTTAAAACAACTTTTCAGTTTTAAGTCAATAATTCTTTAATATTGATGAAAGGTTAGTAGTTACTCTATCAGCTTATTCAGAGGTAAATAAATGAATATTAAGGATTTATTGATCTAAACCAAGCTCATATATCACTGAAAATATATTTGTAAGATTGTTTTCTCTTAATTGAAGTACTAAGATGTTTGTATTAGAAACCAGACAAAAAGTTCTTGGTAAGATTTTGTGTTTTTGCTGTGAACGAACTTAAAAACATTCTAGTCTTTGGCATCCTTTTATGCTGATGACAGTGTCATTACACTATTTGTTACTACATTAAATTCTTTTCTTCAGACGGCTACATTTCTGCAGAGAAAGCGAAGTGTTTGGGCTGCCCGGTGGAGATTGAGGAAAACTCAGAGGACCTTAAAGTTCCTCTTGTAGCATCAGTGTCCAAGTTTAACTCCATTTCCAACTCGACTCACCTGTTCGCCATAAACAGAGTCGGCCATGCCACTAGACAGGTACACACTGAAAGTGGGAGACAAAGACAAAACCAGTAAGAAATTATTGTTCCTGCTCTGAACTTCCTGTGCTTCTGTTTGCAGGTTGTTGCAGGTTTCAGGTACAAGCTGAGATTCGACATGAAGAAAACAACGTGTGCAAAGGCTGAGCACAAAGATCTCAACGACCTGTGTGTCCCAGATGAGGACAATAAGGTAAAAACATGAAACAAATCAACTGGTTCTAGAAAGTTTTTGGATATAATTGGGTTTCCACTTTTTAAAAACAAACCGTATTGCAGGAGTTTGTAAACTGTAACGCTACCGTGGATATGGCACCATGGAGACTGGAGCAGCCGAGTGTCCTGCTGGCAGAGTGCAGAAGTGGAGCTCTATCTTTGGTGAGTCTCTTACTTTGATTAGCAATGACATAAAATATGTTTTTGACATTACCTTTAATGAGCTGCCTGTTTACAGCATGCTGTGTCCAAGCTGTTACTGGAAAGTTGAGTGGAAGGAAAAAGTAGAACATCAGTTTTGCAGTAATTGAAGGAAAAACCAAGCATAACCAATATTGCAAACAAACCCTGCAGTACAACAAAACATTTCTGAATTAAAATGAGCTTCTTTTGGAAAATTTAAATGCTTTGATTTTCTGGCAATGCTGAGTTTTCATTCACTGTAAATCTGCAAGTTATCTAAATCACAAGTGATCAAGAATGTCCTCAGAAAGGTAAACGGTGGCAAAAAATATTGGCAAAACTTCCCAAAAAAAAAAAAAAAAAAAAATCTGAAAAATGTTTTTTTTTTGTTTAAAAAAGGAAATTTGAGCATGAAACAAAAGAATTTGGTAGAAAAATACATTTTAAGATAAATAGTAGAAATTCTCTTTAAACAACAAATAAGGACATTTCTGTTTGAAGTAAAAAAAAATTGCTAGAGAAAACTCCAATTTTGAGATTAATTTGAGTATGAAAAGTTGAACATTTGCTTGAAAAATAATCTGAAACCTTATAGAAAAACAAGAAAATTTCAAGTCTTTATTTTTTTACTTTTAAAACTCAGAAATTTTCACTTTTTTGTAAAAATTTCAGTTTTTTGTGACCTTTTAAAGGTCACAAAAAAACATAGTTCAACTATTGTTGAAGAACATTCAATTTGAATGTTCTTTCGTCAATAAAATGTATTTATTGGCAGAAATGTAGTCAGCCTGTTTTTCTATCCAACAGCCATAATAATGGCGTCGTAGTGAAGTAGTTTGTGTCGCCATTGAATCGGTTGTACCTCCCTCTCAGATTCGGCGCCGTCCTCCCGGCTGGTCTCCACTCAGGAACCTGGATGCGCCGTCGTCTCACCCTTCTCCATCCGTACCATCCCCCTCCAAGACTCCGGGCAAAGAGGAATCATCCGAGGAGGACACGACGGCCTCCAAACCGTCAGCCTCCCCCAAAGCCAATAACCACCCCTTCCACTGCCCCACCAGCCCCTGGAAACAATTCAAGCCGGTCCAACCCGTAGCGCCGCCAGACGCCGCCCAGGCCTCCCAGAAGCCGCCATTGGAGGGAGATTTTAGTGATACTGACCTGCTTTCTTAGATTCTCTCTCAAGAAGCCGCATTTATCGTATGTTGATAAAAAAAAAAAATATTGGGTCTTCAATGAATTAGGTTTAACTTTTTCTTCTTGGACACAGGGCTTTATTGATGATTTAAATCTTCCCACAACTACCTTGGGGGCTAAAGGCTAACTACTTTTATTGTAACCCCCGTTTCTCTGTTCATTGGTTCAAATTAACCAGATTATCTATTTAAAAGTGTTTATTAGTGATGTAATTCAGGCTTTCTGGAGCAATAGCTGCACCACCAACTGACTCAACGATAAACGGAAAGACGCTAGCGAGGCTGCTAGCGGTCAATTACAGCTAGCGAGGCTGCTAGCGGTCAATTACAGCTAGCGAGGCTGCTAGCGGTCAATTACAGCTAGAGGCTGCTAGCGGTCAATTACAGCTAGCGAGGCTGCTAGCGGTCAATTACAGCTAGAGGCTGCTAGCGGTCAATTACAGCTAGCCAACTTGTAGAGCTCATTTAAGTAAGGTCTGATTCCCAAAGATCAACTAAAAATCTAAAATACACAGTAAATGAAGAGCAGAAGAATAATCAGGGTCACAATTTGCTGCTGCAGCCAGGCTAAAATTGGATAGAAAATTAACAGAAAAAGTCAAATTTCAAATAAAACCTTTTAAGATCTTTCAAAGTTTCCCACATTTAAAAGAGAAAAAGAATCTTAAAATTAAATACATCTCCATGGAAACAAAGGATAAAGCATGGGTGGGTTATATACAGGTGTAAGTGTCTTTGTTGTTTGTATTGCATGTCCATCCACTAGGGGGCACTGTTATGCCAGGAGCATATGTTTTTGGGTTTGTACTCTTCTGGGTCTGATCTGTTCATGGGGGAAAAAAGTTGAGCAAAGATACGAGTTATTTTTACTCACTACCAGGAAGCAACTGCAAGAATATACCAGAACAAGAGTTTTATATTACCTTCATTTAAATAAAGATGAGTAATTATACTCTTATCAATTGAATTACTTCAATTCTCAATACTTTTTGTTTTTTGAGTGAACGCATAAAGGCCTAAAAAATATTCACTTCTGTTGCTTTTACAAAATGATCAGAATTAGTCTTTTTTCCATCTTTTTATAAAAATAAAACCTTTAATGTCAAAGTGAAATCTGATTTCTGCAAAATAACTAAAAACAATGCATTCAGAGGATCAACCTGCGTCTCACTGGACCTCTGCAGAATCGCGTCACTTTAAATCCCAGCATTTATTTTGCAAAAACATGTTTTTTTTTTGGCATCAAACAAAATTGTTAGTCAAATTTTGTAGCTCATGATTGATTTTTAAAGATTAAAAACAGTAAAATCATAAACATTTAAGAGTTAAATATTTGTGAACATCTGTGAAATATAATCATCTGAATGAACAAAAAAAATTCCCAGAGACGAACAACAGTTTGCAGCAAGAGTTTGAACTTCTTGTGGAAGTTGTACTGTTGGTCCACTAACAGCACAGGAGCGAAACACGCAGGTGAATGTTTAACAAATTTATTTACACAACTTCACAGACGCCCTGGTGACCAGTTAGTCGGTCGGTCAGGGAATACAACCGTCGCCTCCGAATGTACATCCATAAATAAAACAACAATATTGTAATAACAATGCAACTTAAATACCAAATGTCCCAAAACCTACAGGAAGCAGACTTAAGGCATTAGGGAAGACAGTGAATGTTTGTTTATCAAAATAAAAAAGGGGGGAAAATAATTATAAAATCAGGAAAATAAATATTGATCTCATGCAAGTAGCATGTGAAAAAGTTCTGGCAGCACAGCACATTACGACACCAACTCACAGAGCTGCACACAAGTAAAATATTTTATTTTTTATATTCCAGAGAATTTGCTTGAAATTTAAAAACTGAATTTTAAATCCATTTTATGACATTTTCTCTGTTCATGGCTCAATTCGAGGCTCAGTAGAAACAGTGCATTTACACAACAAAAACAAACAAAACCAATCAGGCGACGATTGAATTCAACACAAAGACAAATGGCTGACATGGCAGATTTAACATTTTAGTCCCACAGTCACAATGAAAGCCACTAAAAAGGCAGGATTACGGCTTATTGCACTTTATTGTGTTGAACTTCATAAAGTGTCTCGTTTTATGCAAAAACACAAAATCTAACCAAATATTTTTAGTCTACTTTCCAACGCAAATGTCTTAATTTACTAAACTAAATAAAACTAAATTAACCTGCAAGCAGCTTTTCAGCAGAAACTTGTATCACTTTGTGTTGTAAGTGAAATAATCTGCCAATCGAATTAGTATTTTTTCACCAACATTAAAGAATTATCCAGTTAAAGGTGATTTATTAGGTAGTTTTGTCTTATTTCAGGTGTGCTAAGATATTTGAACTAAAAACTAGACCAGAAATATTTGGTGAGATTTTGTGTTTTTGCAGTGTGATTTACTTCCAGGAGGAAAAACTTGGATTTGAGTTTACAACCACTTTAACCAACCAAGCTTTAGAAAACTGTTGGAATCTTACAGTAAACGTTTTTTTAGTCTCCAATTTATCCCCTCAGATCAAGATGTAATTGATTCTTCACTGTGGCACAAAGAACATTCACTACTCGTATTAAACAATGCTTCAGCCATCGGCGTTTATCTACAGTACAATAGACTCTCATAATTAGTACTAATTGGACATAAACTCTCCAATTCATGACATTTCAAGTAAAACATGAATATACATGTAAAAAAAGTTTGTTTCCCCTTATTTATCTTTCCTTATAAACAAATAAAAACAAAATGCTGGCAAATATTCCCTGCCAGTGGAGATGGTCGTTTCCAAAACATTTAAAGACAGTTATTGCAGGTGTCATGGCACACGCGCCGGTTTCCATTGGAACCTGCCAATGAAGCTCTGCAGCCTGCACAGAATGACTCAGGATGCATGGGAGGACAACACACAACAGCTGCCACACCCAAGTACACATTTTCCGTCATACACACTCGCTATGCTATTTGCAAAACATACATATCAGACTAATGTCCAAAAAAAAGGCAAGAATAATTAAAATTATTAGCATTTCTTTTTCACCTTATAGTGCTTTTCCAACATCAGTTTCACAGGATTCACTCAGAAAAACACTACAGAAGGTCCAGGCTAACGATGCAGCACAAACAAAGCAAAACAACTGAACCAAATTAAAACTAATCGTCACTTTGGCCTCTTAACACACCTGGCTGGTCTGGTGAAGCTTTTCATATATTCATTGACCAAAATGGGTTTCTAATTACCCTGATTATGTAAAATGTTCTAATTTCTGGAGCATCAATGAAAGAATCAATTACAAAGTTCATAGTTCAGCCAATTGAGAGATTTAGTGTCACATGTTGCAGTTTTCAGCACTGAAAACATTTTACTTTTAACAAACTTCTGTTACATTTAAATGTAATCATTAACTTTCAACAAATGACGTTTTAATCCATCTTAAGTTGTTTTTTTGGCCATATGAATACTGATTGTGCAAAACTAATCAGTCGTATTTCAGAGTCGGAAAACACCAACCGTTGAAGGTATGAAGCAAATCCCAATTCATTTTCTTAAGGCTTTTAAAAGTGAGAATAAAATATACAGTTTGTGTTGTTTTGTCACCAATTACTTCAGAATTAGCTCTGCTAGCATAATTTGCTAAGCTAAAGTTGCATAGCATTAGCCTAAAGTGACAGTTTTAGGGCTAAACAGCATTTTATTGTGGGTAAACTAAAAACTGATGGGACGGGTAACATCCTTACGGTAACGCTTGTGTTAAACTCTCAGCTAAAACCGACTGTGGAAAAAAGTGAGACTCAGCACAGTTCCCCTTTACGAGGCGTGTTGGTGACAGCAGTTTGAGGCAAGGCAGCACCGGCTCAGGCCCGAACACAGAGGGGAGCAACGCAACCTAAATGTCTTTAGAGGCAGCTCTTCATAAAGGGCTTTTAAATCCTTCCAGAGGGTGCCGGTTTTTTAGCTCTCCAAGCTAATGCTTTTATACACTTATGCTGGGTTTCTCCTTGGCACTGAATAGCAAGAAGTTGTAAATAGGTTTGGGTTTCTCCTACTATCCAATCACAACACACAATTGGGTAGTCTGGACATTATTTTGGGTGAGAAAAACTCTCTAGGTTGAAAATATGTAGTCAGAGTTGATTTTTATGTTACTAGTCAAAAAAAAATTACTATTTTCTATAACCCTCTTTTTTTTTGCTCTCAGTTCAGTTTAATTTACTCAGGTTGTGTATTTTGGGGGGGAATCTGTTCCTGTTTATACACAGTGTGTTTTTTCCCCTCACTTCTTGTTGTAAATGTAATGCAAGACCAAAATGTTCACTCTTGCAGTTTTGCTTCTCTAAATAAATGATTCTGGGCCAACTTTATAAATAAAAAGGTATCAGTATTACGTCTAATCAAAAAAAAAACTGCAGCTCAAATGGCGCTAAAAGAACCTTTAAGTGACAAAGTTTCAAACATATTTACAAAATCAATAGTATCTGTTATATTTCTGACTTTCAAAATGAAACAAAATACATAAATTAATTTAAAAAGTCATAAATCTGTACACTTTACTTTTTTACAGTTTCAAGTGCTTTTTTTATTTTTTTGACAGAGGCATCTTTGCTCTGAAGTCGACGACAAGAAGTCGCTGGAGAAAGAAAATCTCAGAGATCATCTCTGATGCTTTTTAGTCTTTACATTTCTGCTCCAAAAACCCAAACAATGAAAAAAGGTCAAATTATCTGTGGAAGACATTATAGATGGGAGATAATCCAGTGAATTTGAGCACAACGTTTCCTCTGCCTTCCCTGTGCAGAACTGCAACGACTGAAGGTCAGCAAGTCCCACTTGCTCTGCAGCTACATTAACGCCTCGGCGGCTCCGCTAAGTTCTGTTGGGTTTTATTTCAAGAGCAGCTTTTTTTTTCCAAACATGAAAGTCTGGGGAAGGTTATTACCGTCAGGGTCTTGAGGAAAATTTGACACACTGACAAAAGCAGCACAACCCGAATGAAGGCGAACAGAAACGATAATGCGGGAAACCCAGAACCTCGTTTGAAAAACAAGGGAAAAAGTGCTTCAAAACTTAATCAAAAGGCAAACTTTATAGAGTTTTATAGAGTTTGCTGTGAATGGGAAAATAAATCCCTTCAAAAAGTGTAGTAATAAATACTCCATGTTGAGTTTAATGCGTTTAGTTTAGTGCATGCTGCCGAATCGTGTGGAAAATCCAGTCCATCTTGGTGGTCCAACCTCCATGGTGAGCGTCGTTCATCTGCTTCATGAAATAATCCAAAGCCTCCTGCGTCACACAGGACACAAAAACCGTAAAAAAAGAAGAAGAAAAAAAAAGAGACTGATCCGGCTGAAAAACTTTGTGTTTATCAGGCGATTTTTGTTTTGAATATCTGTAATAACCCTGAACTGGTGACCACTTCCTGTTTGATCTACAGTTTTCACTCCAAGATGTTTTTTGCTTTTTTTCAAAAGCAGTTAGTAAAACTTTAAACTGCTGCTGCGCATGTCACCCAGCAGCTCGTTGCTAGGTAACCAAAGCTGAGGAGAACTTGAAACTGCTTCTTACCAGCAGGTTGTTGCTAGGCAACAAAAAGTGAGCGGGCTAGTTGATTCCACCAACTTTCCTTAACGAGCTGTGAGACGTTGCGAAAGCAGGAGGGGCCAAACTTTTAGTAACAAAGGCCACAATTGTCAACTAAAGTATAAATAATAAAAGTAGCGTGAAATATTTGAGTCAAGCAAAGAAAATAGTTTGATTAATTTTGTAGTAAAGGGATATGGAAATCACTGTACATCCAAACGTCAAAAGGTTTCTGCATAATTTCCATTTATTTTGGTCTCAACTCAAGAAAACTGAAAAACATTTGGCCCATTTTCAGCAACAAAAACAAGATTCAGGTCAACCTTTGTTTGAAACACTTTCAATAAAAGCAGATTTTGGTGCAACAGTTTGTATAAGTGTATTAGTTAGTGGACAAATGTGGCTCAATTTATCATGAAATTAAATGGAAATCAGAAATGTAAATACTTTGTTATATCTGATGTTTTTGCGAGAAAAGTTTAATTTGTGGGTCATAATTTTGTCCTAATTGGAAAAAAAAGACTTGCATCAACTTCCTGAGATACAAGTGTATAATTTAAAGGTGGCACAAAATCAGTCTAGGAGCTGCAAATGGGCCCCACTGTGGACACCTGAGCTCAAGCCTTTCTTCTGCCTACATCCCCCAGAATGCTGTGCGGTTCTGAATCGGAGCTCAGTGAATATTTCAACAGATGCATTGATATCGGCCACTTGTTTATCGCGATATATATCGTTATTGATTTATTGTCCAGGTGTTTCCTGAAGTTCCTTCTGACGTAAAGAAGTCCGGACCCACCTGCTCGCTTTTCTCCAGCGCCAGCGTCTTCCGGATGTAGGCGATGTCGTCGAAGGACTGCAGCTCGGGCATCCCGGAGCCCAGCATCATGGAGAACAGGTTGATGAAGAGGTTGGCGTGCTGGCGGATGGCCAGGTACGCCTTGTAGCACATTTCCTGGAACCTGGAGCCAAAATGGCGACAGCATTACAACAACGGATGGGAAGGGAGATCCAACTCCAGAGCAGAAATACTTCAACATATTTTTACTCCAGTAAAAGTATAAAGTAGCTGTTTTAGTAATTACTCAAATGTAAAAGGATATTTGGTAAAAAGTCACCTAAAATTCTGAGTAACTGATCAAAACATTAAACATGTAATATTTAAGAATTACATCATCAGACGGACCAAAGCACAATATGCAAATTTTGTTATTTTAAACACTAAAATGAAAATAATTCCTATAATAACATAGTTACAGAATCAGAAAAGTGAAAAATTCCTCCAAATCAGTTTCTTTCAATGTAAAGTCTATAAAACTTTCACAAGTTTTTGTTACAATTTGAAGTTTTTACTTCGAAATAAAAATTAAAAAGTACAAAGCAGTAAAAATAATCCTTACATTTTTTGAAAATGCAATTGTAACTGGATGAATGCATATAGTACCCAGTTCTGCTTATTTCATGTTACACATTTTTTATTTCAATGAAAGATAAATACTTTTTGTACATTTCTGGCTTAATTACTCAGCTATTTGGCTTAAACTCCAGTTTAATCGATTACTAAATTAGTTATTTAAATCAGTTAATCACGATTCATCTGGTTAATCGTTTCAGCCCAATTCTTTCAAATCTCCCTCCATGTTTTTGGCAAACAAAGCAATAAGAAGCAAACGAAACGGTGGCCAGCAGGTTGTGTCATAATGATAAATCAGAAAGAAAAAAAAACCTTTCAAACTCTTTGGTCTTTGTGCACTCCTGGGATCCTTTACTGATGACGATGAGGAAGTCTTGCGTCAGAACGAACGGGACTCGCTCTCGCTTGTAGCCAAATTTCTTCTTCTTGTGATCCAAGAAATGGCCAAAATCTATATGAAACAACTGAAACAGCAAAACATATCAGCTCAAAGTTTTACTGAACTAAAGCTTCATGTGGGAACGATTATTTCAGTCATCGATCGATTATCCTGACCATTAATTGAAATAAAACAATAGCACATTCTGCAGGTTTGTCATTTAACCCTTTTTATTCAAAAATAGAAATACATTAAAATTTCAAATAATTCAATTTGTTTTTTAAATAAGAAAAAAATAATTTTGTTGCATAAAAAAGAAAAAGGTGATGAATAAGAGATATGTTACTATTATTTAATTTACAGAATTTGAACTCGATACATTTAAAACAGCTTTTGAGAGGTTTGGGTTAGAATTTACTTACAAAGGATTTTTTTTTATCAGTTGCTAAATTAGTACACAATTATAACAATCAATTAATCAGGACTGATCGATGAGTCAGTAACTTCCCACATCCAGAGGAAAACAAGCTGCAGGGACAGAAAACGCTCCAGATATTTGCAGATGTTGAATGAAACAGAAGAAGAGAGCAGAGAGCGATTTACCTGCCCGTCGTCTTTCACCATAATGTTGCTGTTGTGCCGATCGCCGATCCCCAGAATAAACGTGGCTACACAGTAGCCAGCACAGGACCTCGTAAACAGATCCACAGCCAAGTCGTACCTGCACAAAAACAGAGGAAAACCTTCAGATTTTCTGGTGCAATATTGCTAACAATAAAAATTATTTACTACTTTTTTATTAGGTAGCTGTTTGTTGGCATAACACCAAAAAGATACTTCTCTTGAAAAACATTTGCATTTTAGTCTTCATACGTCTGCATTTATACAGCAGTATGATTCTAAACTGCAAATATTTATCACATTAAATCATATTTTCAGGTTTACTGATATCTACTGACGTTCTGACAGCGGCGACAAACAGTAATAACATTTTGGATGTCAGGTTTTTTCTAACATTAACTGGAATTTAATAAGATGATAAATCAAAATTCTTACAAGAAATTTTCACAATTAATAAATAATATGATAAGTACCAACTCCCAAGAGCTTCAACAGATTCTCAATTGCTAAGCAGATTTAAAACAACAAATAAATGTGAAACAGTCATGAAAAAGTCATTCTGTGAGAATAAGACGGACGGTAACTAAGTCTTCACTAACGGGGACGATCCGATCCACTTTTTCACTTCCGATACGATATCTGAGGTCCAGTATCGGATGATACCGATCCAATTCAGAACGACAGATTAATTGACTGAAAATGTTTCTTTTGTAAGCAACAGACAATTGAATTAAAAATGTATTTGATAACTCTGCACCAGTACAGCAAACTGGAAAACAGAAATAGCTTCACAAGCTGGTCAAACGTGTGAAAACAACTTTAATTTGTTCAGTCGGTGCAATTAGGAGTAAAACAGCCGATGGAAAATAAATAAACTGAAACTGGTAAAAACAATAAGTGGACAAACCTTCTTTAAATGGCTCAGAAAGTGCAGTGAGAAAATCTAGTTATGATGTAAAGTTGATAATAAGATTTTCCTTCTGGATCTGAACCGTTTCACCGATTTCCCGATCTAAATGTTTTTAAATATCGGCACTGATACAGACTCCAGCAGCTGTGGTTAAAACCAGTGGAAAACTCACGTCTCTCCTTTGTTTTTGTCCTTGAGCCACTGATGCAGCGTGTTGGAGTTGAACTGCAAGGCTCCTTTCAAGCCTCCTTTACACTGAATCTGCATGATGGTGTGGGAGTTTCGAACCACCTCTATCAGGCCCACGCAGTCTCCCAGAGACAGACAGCCGTAGGGGAGCATCCTGAGGAAACACAGCGGACCCCATGACACCAAAGTACCCAAACCAGAGCCACTCGGACTGACATGGTGTCTGATTGCTGTACCGTAGGTCCAGTCCCTGGTTCTGCCAGATGTTCTCCATGATTCTGATTATCTGCAGCGTCAGCATATCCTGCCGCAAATCTGCGACAAACAGAAATGATTACAGGTAGGAACCGAGATGAAGCCAAACTGCCACTGAAGGAGATCTGGATAATTACAGAAAAAGTTTTTTTTAATCCTAAATGCAAAATCTGGATATTTTTTGTAAATCTTTAGATTAAATACTTTTCTGAGTCTGTTTTCATTTCAGCAAATTGCCTTTTTCAGACTCCATATGTGCCAGTTAAAGATGAATCAATTACTAAACTGATGGCAATAATTTCTTAATCACGATTAATTCGATCAATTGTTTCGGCTTACATTTCAGAATACGTCTCAAGCGATTCGTGTGGTTGTAGGTTTCCGTGAGACATTGGAAATGTTTGCAACGTGTGTGAGGTTGTTACCGTCTCCGTTTTTGAAGATGATCTCATTATTCTGAAACAGCAACTCGGACATGATGTCAGGATTCTCCCAGTTGAGCCACAGCGGTCTCTTTGCGGATGACATGATTCTGCACTCCTCCAGCCTGAGACAGAAAACGGTTATTTTCCGCCGGTCCACTCTGAACAGAGCAGCTCATCGATTTGCAAACCTCAGATTTCCCAGCTGGTGTGCAGGGTTGAGTGGAGAGGTGAAGTTCTGCAGGGCGTCCATGTAGTCGGGTCGCTTCATCTGGTCTACAAGAAACTTCATCTGGACCTTCACCAAAAACATAAAAACAAATATTTACACTTTGATTTAATTTAAATAAAGTATTTTTGAATTTAATGTCAGGGTTTATAAAACTTATATACTCAAATTTTCAAAGCTCAGGGTTTATAGATTGTATTTTCTATCTATAAAATAAATGGTTTGAAGCATATTTATTATGGATGCAAGTTATTAATTAATGAGTTAATCTAAAACTGATTGATCTAAAATGATTGACTATTATAATTCCCTATGAATTATAATATACAGAGTCTTGAAACAAAGTGAAGTGTGCTGATGGTATTTAACCTTTTGCGTCTCATCCTTCTTTTCCTGTTTGAGAATGTCGGTGAGGTTGATGAGCTTCTCCATGGCTTCCACCTGCCTGCTCAGGTGTTTCAGGTACATGCCACAAGCCCTGCAGTACGCCTCCAGCAGCAGCCCGAACCTCTGGCTCACAGTTTTGTTGTGCATTTCTGACCTGAGACCACAACACATGCAGGAATCTAAGCATGAAACAAATAATCAATCACTTCTTTAATGCAGGAAGTGAATAGGCGACTCACTTGAGATGCCAGAAGAAGAAATGGCCTATCCTTTGATTTGTCAGGGCCTTTTTGAGGAGAAAGCGAGCTAGAGGACTGTCAAGATACTGCTCGTATTTTAATACCTGGAAGAAAGGTTGTCAGTTATTCTGAGATCTACATCTAACTTTAAAGGACTTATATACTGAAATCTGTCAAAACAGGCCAATAATTCAGTATCAATAGAAAAATGTTTGAGAATGTCGGTGAGGACAGAAAGTCTGAGCTACAACCGCACAGCATTCTGGGAAATGAAGGCTTTGGAAACTAATTGCTTCCAACATAGAAACCTTTTGTATCTAAACCTCTGACAACTGCAAAAGGTTGGTGACATCAACTAACTCACTCGCTCTTAGGTTGCCTAGCAACTCACTCTGTGGTTACCTAGCAACAACTTGTTGAGGAACTTGCGCAGCAGCAGTTTCAGGTTTTGCCACCATGCCTCATAACTGCTTAAAAATAAATATTAAAAAAATTTTTAAAGAATGTTGAGATTAATAGACATTTGTTGAAATTTGGAAATTTCTGAATTTGAAAGTGAAATGTTTTCTAGAAAAAATTCAGAAATTTTGAGATTTCAGAAATTTTCTAGAAAAAAAACATGAAAATGTCTGAGTTTCAAAAGTAGCTAGTATTGTGATGTCATTTTCAGACGTATTATCATCCAGTCCTAGTCAAAAACTAGTTCCAATATGAGGAACTATTTAACAAACATTTAATAAACATCTTGGCAACTGCATTAGGGTACAAATCAAGTGAGGCGAATTAAACATTTTCTGCTCCTGCAAACTTCTTTTGTTTTACTCGTCATCCACTAATTCATTATATTAAGTGTTTGTGGAGACAGTCTGTATTTACAACCTTTTAAAATCTACAGATTTGGAAAATTTCTCATAACTTATTTTAAAATGTTAAGACAAGTAAACCAATAGTTGTATTTATTGAACTGAGACCAACCTGAACAAGCTGGATAAGGTACTGGGAGAGTTTATCGTCGGTCAAGTATTTGTCCAGGCAGCGCACAGCGAAGTGCCTGACCATGGGGTCTGGGTAGTTACAGTCCAGCAGCTCCATGGCCTGTTCTGGACGGATCGATGGCCATTCCTTCAACAAACAATACATCTGGCAGGAGCAAAGGAATGAGGAGCTAATAAGTCATATTTAACATCAACAAATAAAAAAGTGAACAATATATTTATGAAAAAATGTGCAGTACTTTTTCTAAGAGTTGCATATGTAACACATTTTGAAGAAAAAAATCTCAAAACAATTAATTTCAAACAGAAAGGCTTTAGAAATTTTTTTTTTGCAAAAAGTTTTCTAGAAATAAATCTTCCCAAATCAAAATCATGGTTTGTGTCAAATTCAAGGATTTTTCAAGCATTTTCAAGGTAAGTTTTCAGATTTTTCCAGTGTCTATAACGGTGCTTTACCTGCGCTACATCATCTCTGGAGTTCCATTTGACAGCAAGAAGTATCTTGGGAAGGATCTCTGGGATGTTCATACAGTAGTGCCTGGCAGAGGAAGCAGCAGCAGATGATTGCGATGTTTTGGTACGCCATGTGGTTCCTGTGTGAACGAGTTGCTTACCTGTGTCTCCAGAGGAAGTCTTTCTCCTGCTCAGTGATTTCAGACAGAGGGTCCCTGTTACTCAGCTGTCGCATCTGTTCGCTGTCACTTTCCGTCAGGGCGTGATCTCTGGCCGCCCGACTGCTCTGGAACCGAACAGAAGCGACACGCTGAAACACTTCATCACTACCGCAGTAACCATCCACACTGGAGAAGTAATCGCCAACAAAAACAGCTTTTAGACCACAATACAGAGCGAAAGACTGTTGGAAAAAACAACCCAACACGCACTGCAATCATTAAAATAAGAAATAAAATTTTAGCAGTTTGGCTTTTATGAAAGACTGGCAACCTCAACAGCTTTTAAATGCCTCTATAAAGTTCTTGTTCACACGAATTTCACTAAGACAATTAAGTCAAGTTTATTGGCAAAGGGTAATTTAAACGGTTTTACAGGGCAGTAAATGAACAGAAGTATATTATATATATATATTCATAATGAAAATGTAATTTGTTTATAAGGCATGACACAAAACAACAAGTGAATGCTGCGTCCCCTTAATTTGATTTGATGCAGGAAAATGAAAGAAAAAAAGAAGTTTTTTGATGACTTAAGGTCCATGTGTCAAACTCGAGGCCCGTGGGCCAAATCTGGCCCATCTTAACTATTTCTGTGGCCCACTACACTTTAAAAATAGAAGTTCAGGATAACAACTGTGAGCTTAATTATTACTTTAATAGTGAATTAGTTTCTATTTGTATAGTGCCAACTTACTTCATTGTTGAATATAATTAAAATTTCAGAATTACTCATTGAATGCAAAGGGAGATAATTTAACAGTTCGCTAACAGATGGTTTTATCAACACATTCTGTCACAACCAACCCTTTAAAGTGATTATCTGTGTCATATTCTACCGTCAGGACACAGTGACAGTTTTAACAAATATGTAAAACATAGATTTCTATAAAAGTCACCAACTGCAGCTTTAAGTTGGAGAAGATTCTGACCAAATCCACTCATTGGCATTATGGACTTCCTGGCTCAGGCATCACACGCAAAAAATAAAGGTGTGTGTCATTCAAATATGTATGATGAAAGAGGTAGTAATCTAAAATCTGAAGTAATTAGATAAAGAATGAGAGGAGCCTGAGGATGGGGCCCTGAGGAACCCCACATTTGATTTTTGCTTGTGTAGTTTTAAAATGACACAGCAGTCCTAAACCAATCATTCACAGTACCAGACTATCTCTTGTGTTTTACCTGTAAATCAGTAAATATGTAATAACTTTGTCCAAAGAGACACTGAAATCCACCAACACAAAGAAATTAGTTTTGTATGTTAAGATATATTATTTGAAAATGTTATAAATGGTGTCTCAGCGTTGGGATGTTTAAAAACAGAAGAGATTTGTTTAGTTTTTTGTTGGAAAAATTAAAAAATCTGATGATAAACCCACAATTCACCAAATACATTAAACCAGCTTTTAAATCTATGAATCAAGTATAAATCATATTCCACCATATTTAAAACCATATAAAATGATCCTGCTATGAAGTCAAAGACTGACACTCTGACATCTGCCAAACACAAAACAAATAAAAGAGATTAGCAAATCAGCTAGCATCATTCATGTCCTCCTCCTTGGCCAAGTATCTTCAATGTGTCACTTCAACACGACAGAAGTCACGGTTTTCATTCCCCACATCATGTAGAAACGTGATAAGACGGAGCATCATCTACACCGTCATGAATAACTGAAGAGCGTAATCTGAACTGGCACCTCTGGGCCACCATTCTGGTGTTGGAAGTAACAAGTTAGCAAAAGGTTTTGTCGTTAAATATTTATCCCTCCATCCATCCATTCATCCATCACACTCTTTTATGAATATTAAAACAAAAGTCAAAGATCTAAATAAATCTGATTTAATTCTCATTTCCCATTAGATTTTTTTTTATTTTGGACTTTTCAAACTATAAAAGAAAGCAAACCTCATCTGACATGAAACCAGTCAAGCTTTCTGTTTTACCAGTAATATCGAAAGCAAGTCTATGTTTCCTAAAAGCAATAACTGTGAAAAAATGCAACCCTTTTAAATAGTTTCATTGTACGAACACAGAAGTGATGTGATACACAGAACGACATGTGAGAGGTTGTGAACAGTGTGAGGAGCCGTGTTAATTATAAAGCTTGTGTAAAATATGAGGAGCAACATAATGTGTTATAAAATCCTCAAGCTTGAATCACAACTCATTCAGCAGGTTTTCCCTTCACACATTATACATTTAACAGCATTACACCATGCAAAATATGTTAATTCATGTAATTTTATTTATGGAAGGGGAAATGACTGATGCCAACTGCTCACATCAACATTGCTTGCCGATTTAAATACAATTTCAGATCAAATGAAATGCCTCTTTTTGACAGACCTGTTGAGTTCCCGAGTGGTTGACTGAGAGGTTGAAGTTAAACCCCAGTTCCCTGGAGATGATCCAGTTTGCATGATCTTCCACTGCATTCATGTCTGGGTATTTGACAGGACAGCTGAAGTGGTCAAACTCCAGCTCCAGACATGGTGTTTCCTAAATATACATTAAAATAAACACAAAAAGAAATATTCAGACTGCTGTATGAATTTTATGGTCCAATATTTCTTATGAAAACATGTTAAATACCTTATTGGGATTAGATCCAGTGACTCCTATTGGGTTGAGGAGGTCTTCAAGGCCATGAGGGACTGGCCAGAGGTTCAGAGCCATCTTGTTGGCCACCAGAGTGTGAGTGTAGTCAAACAGGTTAATGTTGCCCCAAGCTAATGGACAGTGTTCCTGGAAAACACCAAAAAGACAACGCAAACTGTGAATTTTACAAGATTTCACTCTCATAAAAACCCAGAAGAGTGTATAACAAGGTTTTGGACTCTAATTTAAGACTTTCTAAGACCATTATTGATGAATGTAAGAACTGCATCACAAAAGGAAAATTGCAAATAAAGGCTATTTATGGGTGCAGGTTGCTAACAGAAGTGAGCTACTGTACAGCCAACTGGCAATAAATCTGCATTTACCCACAATGGACGTAAAGAAGATTAGGTAGCTTTACTCTTGCTAGCCAGCTAGCTTTACCCTTGCTAGCCAGCTAGCTTTACCCTTGCTAGCTAGCTAGCTTTACCCTTGCTAGCCAGCTAGCTTTACCCTTCCTAGCCAGCTAGCTTTACTCTTGCTAGCCAGCTAGCTTTACCCTTGCTAGATAGCTTTACCCTTGCTTGCTAGCTTTACCCTTGCTTGCTAGCTTTACCCTTGCTTGCTAGCTTTACCCTTGCTAGCTAGCTATCTAGTAACCAGCTACCCACAACTCCCTCAAGTCACAGAACGTAATGACGATATCTGTGTGTGATGCAAACTATTGAGTAACATTAAGTCCTTTGAGTTAAAAACAACAATAACTACATAGAATATATAAAACTAAATAGTCCTGCCACAACATTTAAGACCAATGACTAACATATTTAAGGCCAAATTAGTTTTTTCCCCCAATAATTATAAGTCTTAACATTAAAAACACGACTTAAAGACATTTTACAGTGTCTTAAATTCACAGTCAAATTTTGAGACAATTTGCATCAAATTTTCAGTTTCATTAATTTATTCATTAATCTGTACATTAATTGAAATTAGAAATGAACAATTATTTTATGAATTGATTTATCAATTATTCTGACAATTGGACAATAGTTGTGAATGTGGCAGAAGCTGCAGCCAGGCAGTCAAAGTGCACCTGTTTAGAGTAAGTGCTGGGACAAAGGGCTGCTACAGAAAGGTGTTTATCTTTAATTTAGACAGGCCATGAAAGGGCATCCGCTACTCTGACATCAACCGAGCACAGCGGGTCAGGAGACGGGACTCACCTTAGGTGTCCGTTACAATATCCATGTCTGGCTTTCATTGATACACTCCACCCACACAAACCTCATCTAAACACATTCCTAGATATGATTCTTAATCTGCATTTGTGTTTTCAGTAAAATTACAACAAAGTGAGTGCAAAAAGGAATTTTTCAACATAAAAAAAAATCCTAGTTTAAATAACTTTAGCTGATTCTGTTCCTGTTGATGTTTTTTGCCATCAAGGTGCCTATGACTGATTAGTAATTAAACAGAGCCAAAGATGACGCCACAGCTTCCATTCACCTCAGACTGATGAGCAGGAGAGGCCTTCCAAACAGCACACACACATCAAACAAATACACTGCTGCAGGTGTGTGTTGTTTCTAAATGTTATCCTATGTAGGCAAAACTACATATTGTGCCCCCCCCCCCATCATTTGACCAACGGTGGAACCTCAAACTAAAAAGCCAGCAGAGCTAACTCTAAAAACATTAATCACAATTCACTATTTACGACCGTATTTTCCGGACTACAAGTCGCAGTTTTTTTTCATAGTTTGGCTGGGGATGCGACTTATGTGTGAAATTATTAACACATTATTGTATCGTATCACATGTTATTTTCACACTAAGCTGCAAGAGGGCGCTCTACGCCTGTGTTCATAATGTGTATGGTCGAAGCTACCTCCGGAGTTAGCGTAGTTGTTTACAAGCTTAGATTAGGTTTGCAAGATTACAGTGCGCTAATTGTTTTCAAAGCTAGTTTAAGGAGCAAAACAAACAATTTCCATGACTATGCAATCAATTAACCAACCAAGTTTATTTGTACAGCACATTTTAACAGAAAGGTTGAATACTTGGTTCCCACAAGTCTGAACCGTAAGTGAGCCGAACCACTGAACGGCCATCTTGGTAGGCAAATCCAGTGCAAAGCATTGAAGAACCACGGCTTCAAGACCCAGAAGAAGAAAATAGAGTACTCAAATAAAATTACAATGTACTTATATTGTTAATAAAGGCTAGGCGAGAGCTAGTTCTTAGCTAGTGTCTTGTTTATTGCTGACGTAGTAACTCCATAGAAACTGTAAAGACAGTTAGCAACAGATGCCTACCAAGATGGCTGTAGGCTACAATGTTCCTGGAAGTGTAACGTCACATGAGGACTACGAGTTAGCGGATTAGCAGAAGTTTCTTTCACTGTCCTGTGATTGCCACCGATAACTTTGCAGTCAGAATGTAAAACAGAAGCATTTCTGTGTTTTCCAGTAAACCTGGTTAATCGCAGAGTTGTCTTACCTCCTTGGCTCCCTTTCTGCCTTTAACGGAGCAGATGGAGAGGCAGAGCCTGGCAGCTCGGGGGATGTCCGGGATGTACATGTCATAGGGGAGCCACTCATTCCACCTGTACAAAACAGAAATCAGAGCAAAAACAACGCATCAGACAAGGAATGGAAACTTCTCAAAGGGCAGGAAAAAAGTCTGGTTCAAAAGCAAAATAATTTGGCTATTTAATCTCACCATTCTGCTGTTAATCTTTCCTCCTTCCATTAACTACATGATACGGTAGGATATGAAATTGCAGAAAAATTCATCATTTATTCAATTTACCCCAACAAAATGATTTAATCCCACGTACCTGGGATTAGAGCAGGGTACTCTCTGTGTGTTGACGTTGTCACACATTTGTTCACCTCCATGGTAAATTCCAGTCCTCACATAAATCTACAAGAAAAGAGGAAATTCAAAATTACATTTAAAGGTTGCAAAGGCTAGGATAGATCTATACTAAACATGTTGGAAGCTCCTTAATGTCCGTTTACTTCAACAGGAAGCAACAATAGGAACAAAAGAAGCTGTGCAAAGCTAAAAAAAAAGAAAACAGGCAAGTGAGTTTGCTTTAAAACAAAGTTTAGATTCTGCTCCTTCTATTATTGGATGTAAAAGCACTGACGCAGTTTTGTCCCCACCTTGTCTATGTCCCGTATATTCACGTTGACGTAGGTGGCGCAGAGGATTCGTATTCGCAGAGTCCCGTTGATGCTCCACAGCGACTTGGACGAAGCCTCTCCATTCATGTACGACGTTGCCGTGGAGATACGACGAGAGTATGATGGCATGACGAAGTTATCCGTAGGCAGCTGAGTGTACAGGCTGTCCTTAGCCATTAGCATCAGGTTTGGCATCCTGGTCAACATGATGCAACTACGGATGTACTGCACGAAAATAAAGAAACAGTTTGTATGATGCTACGGAGGACAATTAGTGCCATGGTCAAAATCCAAGTAAATAAACATTGTTCCTTCCTTGTTATTGGATTTGTACACCTACAATTTATTCAGCCTGTTCCTAATTTATTTTGGCAAATTTGAGTTTTAAGATTTGGTTTGCCAGGTGGTGTATAACAAATTTCAACAATTCTGATTCTGAGAAAAACAAATGTCATAATTCTAAGACAAAAGGCAAAATTATTTTAAAAAAGATCAAAATTCTGAAGAAAAAAAAATCTGCAAAACAAGTGAGAATCCTGAGAATCCTAAGGGTAAAAATTCTGGGATTAAACAGTCCCATCTCCCAGAACCAGTCAGCTGGGTCTTACCTTGTACTGGCTGATGGGATACTTTTCCAGCAGGTATTCGTCACAGCCACAAACTTTGAGGATGTATTTCCCCTGATATTCTTGAACACACATCTTCAGCTGCTCTGGGGACAACAGCATGCTGCGCGTCTTCTTGCGAATGGCCTCTGCGATCACCTTTAGGGCCCGATGCGTTCAAAGACATTAGGTCGGAGTTTGGTTGTGGACACATCAATAAGTGAACTACTGTGTTGAAATGCAGTTTGCATTTCAGTCAATAAATAAAAGAAATTAACTCAAATTATACAGATTTACTATCAACATACTACTAACCAGAAAAATAAAAAATATTATAAATAAATGCTTGAAATAAATATTCAACAATGTTTTAACGTAATGAGACGCACTGTGCACTCGTTACTGTTATATATTAAAATTGAGTGAGCTTTAAAAATGTATTTCTTATGTGTGGTTAATGAAACTCACCTGTTCCGGCACACAGTCATGGTTGATCTTCAGTGTATACTTTTGCTTGTCATTGTTTGGGGAAACGATCACCCATATTACAACAATAATCTGACCTATAAGACCAACAGAAAATAAATAAATAATAAATATATGTTGTTATATAAATATATATAATAAATGTTAAATAATATGGGGCAAATGGATGCAATATGGTATTCTGAATGTTTTCTACTGAACTTATACAACAGCTGTACTGGTAACCTTTCAGTTATGCTCCTTGTGTGACCGGATTGTTAATGTTTGTTTACCTTTGTCCAGTTTGCTATGGATGTGTTTGGGAAGCTCCTGTGTCGACTCGACGTTGGGGGGGTAAACGTACAGCGCTCTGCTGTGAGGCCCGCTGGCGTTTCTCAGCTCCACAGAGTCTTTACAAACATTCAGGATGTTTCTCCTGAAGTCCTGGACCTCTGGGTCCTTCACCAGGTCGAACTCACACACGGGCATGCCGATGGCAAAACCTTACACAACACACAAAACATATGGAGGGTAAATTCCTTTTAAATGGACTTGTATTCATTTTGGCCAACTGAGAACAACACAAGTCCTGAAATTGCAGAAAAAGCCATCATTTATTCAATTTACCCCAACAAAATGATTTAGAAAAATGCTTGTTTAGTGTTTTAGGATCTCACCGATCTCTCTGTTCAGGATCTTTTCCTCTCTGTTGCCGACTGGCTCGATCACTTTGAGGAACGGCTGGAAGAGTCGAAGGTCACACAGCCTTCGAGTCTCATCGTAGAACTCCTCCCGCTCAGCTTCCTGTTGTTTTAGAGCAGAAGAATAAGCAAAACTTTATTTTATTTTTTAAATTAGAGGGCTTGATCAAAAATAATTCATCTTTAAAGTGACCCATTATTCTCCTTTAGGTTGCTAGGTAACAGGCAGAACTCTACTGGGGTTGCTAGGTAACACACCGGCCGTCGCTGGGGCAACTCGGTGATTCATGACGTCACATTCAGAAGGGTTTTGAAATGACAACTTTTCCAGACACTAAAAAGCATTAAATTATTACCAAAACTCAGCCGGGTTTGTTTTTAAGTGCTTGGCCCGTTTTTAGAACCAATAGAGACAAAAAAAAAAAACAGCAAAAAGTAAATTTTTCTAAATAATTTGCTTATTTTTGCAAAAAAACAAAACAAAACCATCAAGTTCTCACCTGTGTAACACTGACAAAAATGTAGGAGGTTTCCTCCTGCAGGAGGTGATGGAGGGGATACTTCCTGGCCTCCTTGAACAGCTCATGCTTGATGGTGATTAGCGTGGCCTCTCGGAGACACTCCAAGGTCAGAATCATCCCATTGGGCAGCAGGCAGTCCACCAGGATCCTGCAGTCACAACATTATCAGTGCTTACTGCTGATATTTCTCTAATATTTAGTTACAGAACAGGAAGTGGTACCTTGGGGGCATCAGGTGGATGCCCCATAGCTCCCCTGAGGACGGCCTTGGAGGCATCTTCTGCTCTGTCTCTCAGCTCTGCTGCACAGGTAAGCTGAAGAGAGCTACCTGACAACACAACATCGTAAAGCTTGGTTTTTATGACTTGAAACTATTTTAAATCAGACGTAAAAGCTGATGGGGAATTACTGCAGCACGTCTGGTTCAAAAGGTTCTGCTGCAGATCGCCTTTCATGCCCCACAATAAGCACACAAAACAGGACATTGTATGAAACAACCAAAGCCACAAAAGAAGGAAATGGAAAAATGACCACCACCTATGTAAAACATTCCAGAGTTGCATAAAGGGAACTTGTGGGTTTACATAACACAGTTGTGCATTTATGACTTTAAAACTTCCACAATGAAATACAAAACTTACCAATTTAAATAAATAACTTTACATGTTTATGTAAATCTTACTTGTTTTGGTGGGTGAAAGATAATTCTGTTACTTTCATTTTACTGTGAACAGCTTTAAACCCAGGATTTGTTGACAAAGTTGGTGAAAATCTGTGGTTCAGACTCTGTTTGCTGAAACCAAACAAGTTCATGAAGAAAACACAAAACATGTCATCATAAATTCATCTAAACTGCAACCGTGAGCAACGTCCAAACTGTGACACTCAGCTTTATGATCTAAGCTTCTTTACAGTAGAAATATAGAACATATTTTAAGGAAAATCAGAAACAAAATAACCTTTTAAGTACTTAAAAGGAATTATTTAGAGAGTTTCTACCACATGCTATAGAGGAAAAGAAAACAGAAATAAGTTTTAAAGAAATGCAAAAGCATTCATGTCACTTGGACAATGAAAGCTCAAACTTTATTATAAAATAAACCATTCTACAAGTTTGTTCAAAACTTATAAAACTGTTTTCAATAAATATTTTACGTACGTTGTCTTTTCCTCTTTCAGTCGCATAATTTAAACAGACTGAGTGGAAAAATTGGTTTCTGAATCAAAAATCGTCCAATAAAACCAAAACATAATTTGAGTTTACAGCAAGTCTCTGTTTGCAGAAGGAAATTACCAGCATTTATTATTTTGTTCCCCAACTTTGTGTTGACCTGTTGCATTAAAAAAATTAAAACATTTTTACCATACTGTTTAAGAATGTGAGGACCATTTTACATCAAAGGGGATTTAATTGTGTGTCTTGTATTTTTTTTTATTTTTATTTTGTTGTTCTTGTGTAATGTTTGTACTAGTATGTATTCCTTATTGCCTATGTTAGATCATTTGATGTCTCATCTTTTGTCAAGTTATAATGCAGAAGATATATGTCAGTAAGAGACAGACGATTGCAACTGTGGACATGTGTTGTTAAAAATAAATAAAAATAAAGTAAAAAAAAAAAAAATTTAAAACATTTTTAAACGCCTTCAGAAACTTCAGTTTTCTAGTAATGCCATCAGTTTCCTCATAGTAAAATAACATGAGGGAACATTTATGATTGAAATTCAACAGAAATCTACTATTTTAATATAAAAAAGTTCTCCAAGCTAAGAACCTAAACTCTCAAACATGATGCTTTTCCTCCAGTTCTTTGAAATAAGTCAGGAAAGAACTGGCTCGGGAGCGACCAGATAGTCCATCCAGGTGAGAAGAGTAACGGTGAAACCGACTCGTTTCGCTCTGGTTTTATTTTAGGAGCACAAATGAAGTGGAACGAAATGGTGATTCAGTCCGATTACTTCTACGTGACATCAGAAAACTGAAACCCAAAGTTTCACTTCTGTTTGCAGAGATGTGTGAAATATGGATTTTATCTTTTGCACTAAGATTTTTATCTTTTGCACAATCTTTAGTGCAAAAGATTGTGAAAATCTTTTGCACTAAAATAGAGAATCTTTTTCTGTATTTAAGGAAAACTTTGTCATGCTTTCCTTTAATAGAGCCAAGTTTATTTTATTTATAATGAGCAAAACTGACCAAAGTGCTGAACAGATATTATTTTTAAAAAACACCAATTTCAAATGGCAAATATTTATAAATAAAATGAGCCAGGATGAACAAAGTGCTGCATTAAGTTGCCAGTCATGATTGCCTCATTGGGTTTGTGCTGGGAAATGACACAACTACTTTCGACAATCTGCTGAGGTCCAACACACAAACACAACACGGTGAGTCAGCTGCAGCCCAGACAGCGATGGGAAAGCAAGCCACTTTCCGCCGTTAACGCTGAATAATAATCACTATTTTACACCTTTCTGGGATGAAATGGTTCATTTACATTTCATAAATAAATGAGAACAAATGAACAAACCTTCCCTCAGAATATCAGAGATATTTATGGTGTTTAACTTTCTGTCTCCTGGATGAGTCCTGGGAAGAAATCCAGGTCCATAAATGGATAATATTTAATCTAGTTTCTTCAAGAAGGTACAAGGGAGAAAATGCAATATTTATTTTAATCCATTGAGCAAAAAGAGCATGTATATACGGATATATCTAAGGTTAAATATGATTCTACCTCCATGATTTTCAGTTTTGAGTCAGGACATTTAAGCTCGTTTGCACTTCTGCTAATATAAAAAATCCTAAAGATTAAAAAACAAGCGACGAATGTCGAAGTCACTTCCTTCCTTTCTTAAAGGCACACAAAAGGATTTAACAATGCAACCATAGCAATACAAAAACAAGACAATGACAGAAGCTGCACATTATGAGGAAATGTTTGACAAACCTGCTGAGTTCACCAATATTTTTTTAGTTGACAAAATAACATTTTTTAAATTATGTTCCAAAAAGTTACCAGAGTTTTACTTGAAGAAAGCAAGAGTAAACTGCAAAAACACAAAATCCCATCAAGTATTTTTGTCAAATTTCTAGTGCAAATATCTGAATGTACTTGAAATTAGACGAAACTAAAAAAAGTAACTTTTCAGGAAAACATAGGAGCTCATTTGACATCAATGATTCTTTCATATTGATTTAAAGCAGTAACAGTATCACTGGAAATTTATTTCTCAAATTAATTATTATCCCATGAGTGAAATAATCTGCTAGTAATAAAAATAATATTTTTCACAAATATTATGGCATTATTAACATAAAACAAGCTCATATTTCTTGCTCAAAAGTAAGTTGTAAGTTAGTAACCTTAAAATGAGACTAAACTAAGACATTTGCACTAGAAACTGGATAAAAATACTTGGTAATTTTTTGTGTTTTTGCAGTGCAACAAAAAGAAAAAACATCTGCCGGGTTGTGCACTGCATTATGCTGTTTGGTTTCTCCACCTTTGTTTCAAAACAAACCAGGATGATAAAGCGTCTGCTTCACTGTGAAATGATAAGTTTTAAAAGTTAGTCAATGTTAGACGTGTGAATTGCTACATTCCCTCTAAAAATGGAAACTTTCAGAGTTAAGATGAGCAAATTAACTAAACTTCATGCATTTAAAAATGACAAACTAAACTCACATAATAGATACAGTTAACAATTAATGTGACATTTTCAGGGAAAAGCTCCAAACTGCACTCATTAGTTCTCATTTACAATTTAATCTCATTACATTCTAAATGTTCAGCATATTTATCAGTAAATATGCTTCAAGTCCAAATATTTACTTACATTTGATTTAATGCTATGCAATAAATACTTAATTTATTGTAAAAGAAAACAATGATGATGAATTGATCGATCTAAAAAAAAGTGGCAAAGTATTTGGAGGGGAAAAAAACTCTTCAGCAGGGTTTATTGCACCGTTTTCTGTCTTTTAGTTACACTAATATAGCTAATAAATGATTTACATGTTAAAACTGTACAAACAAATATGTCCTGCTTATAAAAAAAGGAACAAAAATATTTAATTTCTGCATTTAACAGCCAGTTAATCCACATATTTTGTTGGCATTTTGGATAAATGCAACCAAAACAAACACGAGAGTCTCGCTCTAGCAGAAAAAAAATGGCTCAACAAGAGAAATCCTACAATAGCTAAAATCTGATACTAATCCATTTTGTAAGTAAGCGTTCAATAACTTCTTCTGAGTTTTTTGTGTCATTTCATTCAATAGTTCTTGGTCCAGCGCCACCACAGGTAAGGAGGGGAAAAGGTTTTACAAAACGTTTGGTTCATTTGACAGTGTAAAAGCAAAATCTTGTGATTTTGGTCCCCAATTAAACCCTGAAAAATTCACATCAATCAAGACTTTCTACCCATGTTAAAGACAGAAGTCTTCTCTAGACATACTCATAAACGGAAACACTTAGGGGAATTTATCTGTTGCAACTTTCCGGTAATAATAATTTTTCTTTTTAGCGAAAACAGGCCACTTCCAAAGGAAAAGTACACAAAAACAACCCAGAAAAACCTTCATAAACTAAAAAAGAACACGAGAATTGAGTAGTTCTGACTGGCCAGGATGTAGCAAAGTAATTTAGGACTAAAGAGGAAGCTTCCTTAAAACACAGGATGTGGGTAGTGGGGAAATATTGAGCGAGACACGTTTTTCTTTCTGTAATGCCATTCAGCATGATGGCCTGATCTGTGGTCAGGCAGGAGAGATGAAACATCTGTTGAGGCTCTGCAGGACACAACTCCATATATTCGTGGGCAACAGAGGCTTTAGCCATTTGCACCACTCTGCATGACGAACTGGGCTCAATGGAAACACTTGTGACACAGTGATCGGGTTACACTTTGTTCATAAAATTAGCTCTGGAGTTGAAGTTAATTGAAAGATGAGAACAGAAGTGATGTGGAAGAGAAACATACCTTAGAGAGAGAGAGAGAGAAAGAGGCCCTCCTATTTGGATGATTAGTCAGTTCCACCCTTCATTGTTCAATCCATTTTCAGGCTGTCGCTGAAACATTTGCAGAGAGGAGAAATTAAAATCCCAAATCAACCTGAGTCTGAATAACAGAAAAGGTGATTCATGTTGGCTGGTGGAAGCAGGTTAGCTAACGATGACAGCTCACAAATGACAACCACATAAACAATACAATACAATTCATCTCAGTGATGACACTAGGAAGTTAGAAACCTTTTGGATTCTATAAACACAAACTGAACTCATATCATCCAATGTTTGTCCATGTCAGCTAAAGGCTAATGCTAACCCTATCCTCCTTTGTGGGGTTTAAAATTCCCCAAATAACAATAAAACCCTCTAAAATATTAAGAGAATTTAAAAACCCACACATATATTTATATTAATTAAAAACCTACCCGCTGCTTTCTGTCAAAGCTCAACTGATCGGATTTCCTGGGTGTATTTGCCCCTTAGCTTCCCGGCTGCTAGCTTCCCGGCTAACAGCCGGAGCGGTCGGTTCCTGCGGCCGATCCGGGCTGGCGGCTGCCGGCGCCGGGAAAGACGCAGGGAGGCGTCGGTCTTTCCCCGAACCCCGAGCCTTTCGCTTCCGCGCCAGCGTTCAGAGACGAGCAAGCCGAGCTCACTCAGTCCCTCCTGGGGTCACGGAGCGCACAGACTGACCGGCGGCATGTCCACTCGGCGTGTCGGAGGGACCGTTGGAGGACGTGTTGTGGAAAAGCAGCTGCCCGCCTGGAGAAGTTGTGTTACTGCGACAAAACCTCCTTCCACGCTGCCTCCTCCTCCCTTCCTTCCTGTAAAATACACACAAACACAGCCAGAGTGGGAGCCAATGACGTGTCGATTCAGTTTTATCTCCAGACTACCGCAATCACTGGCGCAAAACACGAGCACGCGACGCACAGGGGCGCTGCGCTGGAGGGGGCGCCAAAACAAAGGCGTAAAATCAGCATTATCTGAATTTAGTAGCATGTGATCTATAACAGAAGCATGTTTGTAATGTGTTTCTATGGTACTACAGCATATTAGGATATATGTGGATAGAAAGAAGAAAAAACAGGGGCAAATTTTTGCCCCAAAAAATTTGACTTTTTTTAGAAAAGAACAAGGAAAATTTGGTGTTTGAAAAGTTGAAAATTTGCTAAAAAAAACAAAACAAATCTGACATTTTGAGACTGTTCTGAGAAATTTTCTTGGAAAAAAAATCTGAGATTGAAAAAAGTTAAAAGAATTGCTACAAAAAATTCAGATTTTAAGTTTAGCTGCAGAAATTTTCTAAAAAAAAAAAAAACACGGAAATTTCTTTAAGTAGAACAATCGAAAAATTTCAAGGAAAAACAAAAAATTTTTTTAGATTAGTCTCAAAAATTCTAGGAAAAAACATGAAAAAATTTGAGTTGCAAATTTTCAAAACGTTTTATGTTGAAAGAAATTGATATTATTTGGTAATTATAGTTATTTATATGAATTATTTTCTTTAAAATACCAACATTTTCACATCGTTCTATAAAGATGTTGTCAGCACAGTAAAAATACTCCTAAAAGTAAATTTTTTTCAAAGAAGTTACTCAAGTAAATGTATGTGAGTGAACATAAGTGGTTATTACCCAACTCTGTAAAAATGATGTGATGGTGTTGGCAGGGGCCTCCAAAAGGCTAGACCCGGCCCTGGAGATAAATCGTCCCAGAAATTATTGCGATAAATGATAATATTGTTGTTTTCAGGCCATTTTCAACGCATCCGCAAAGATCAACCTTTAATTCTAATGAATATTTAACACTGTCACTAGAAGACATTTTAAATATCAAATAAACACAAGAATCAACTAAGTAAATTATTTATAAAGTCTCTGGAAAAAGAGACTTTATACACATTCACAATTTTACTCTTTACAGCCTGAACTTTATCAGTGCGAAGTGATTTTATTGTTATTATTCATTTATTATTTTATCTTCATGCTCTGCTATTTGCTGACACGCATATCTGGAAACGGTTTAGTCATAATTTGCCAGTTGAGCACAGAGGTGCAGCATATTTATACAATGTGTCATTATTGCCACCCATGCAAAGCAGCAGCAGAGCATCGGAAATGGGCCGAACCAAGACGGAGAGGGATGCTGGGAAAACCTCCGGCTGCAGCGAAGCCTCCAAAAGCGCCTCCACAAGTTACAGCACATTTCCCGACCCTCCAGGGAAACAAGCAAACCAAACCGCGCGCGGTGGACGATGACCGGCGCGGATTTGCGCTTTGGGTCGGGAATCCTGTGCGCCCTGCTCCCCTCCCGGTGAAGCCGCGGTGAGCGCGTCCTGGTCGGGACTGTCATCCTGTCTGACCGCCCGGGTGTTCCGAGAGGAGAAGTTGGCAGAGGGATGTTCCGGCGATGATGGCGCTGCAGCTGAGGAGCGGGGATGCTGCATACTACCAGCGCGCAGAATACTGCAGGAACTACACCTCGCCGCCTGTCGGCTACACTGACAGCAGCCATTATCTTGCACGATTGCCAGGTAAGTTGAGGCTGACGTGGAAAAACTCTCCTGCGTTATTCTGCAGAAAAAGAGCGAAAACAGAAGAAAACTGGTGAACGCCGGTGTGAGGTGATTGCGGCTCGCTTCGCGGTCCGTGGGTGTAGGAACCGGGTTGCCCCTGACGCTGTCATGTTTCATGATGCTGCTGCTGAGATGCACAGCCTCCATTCTGCTCTGCAAGATGCTGCGGTGCAAAAAATCTGTGGACAGCTCTAGGAAATACGTGCAGAAGAGACTTCACATCTGAGGCAGAGCTTTAAGTGCTGACATGTGACAGCCATGAAGAAGGAGCCCCCTGCTGAACCTGCTCAGCCTTCCTGTGAGAAATCAGGGGCCAAAATCTGTCATCCTGCAGTAGCACTGACCATGTTAGCACTGACCAATCCACTTCATTATTCATGTTTATAAACCTCCAATTATTCATTAGGAACCCATAGATGACCTTTTGGATTTAATTATTAGATTTTACAGTATATTTGTTGGTTTCTCTGCAAAACGTGTAAAAGCAAGTTTCTTATCGCAAAATTAAATATCTGTATCAATGAACTGAATTGCTTCAACGTCAAATTGATTAGTCGTGTTTTCAATACATCAGGATTTTCTTGAGTAAAGTTTTGAGGCTGGACAACATTCATGTTTTTGCTTTTAATTTGTTGACAGATTATGTTATTTTGACAAATAAGTAGAAATGGGAACATGAGTCTCTGTTGAATCTTTTCCAGCCTTTTCAAAACAGTGAGTGCATTCCTCAAAATAATTTATGCAAATAGCAAAATAAATTACCTGTCATTTATTTTACAAATACACTCAGAAAACCACAATTTTCTGTTGATTCTGCAACTGACAAAATAATGTTCAAATGTGTTTCTTTTTTTAAACTTAGCATGTAATGAATAATTGTCATTATTCTAATGATAATCTTCATATTAACTCATTAATTGATAACTTTCATCCCTCTTGCTCTGCCAAAATCAATGTTAAATGCAACACAATCACTTAAAGGGCAACGTCTCTCAGTGAACGTTAAAGTTAGTTAATATATCAGAAGATCACATTTTGGCTGCAGTGACAGTGGAGGCAGTGAAATGTCCGGATGGATTCAGTGCAGAGGGCATGTGCTTCCTGTCGCTCCATAATTGATGTGACACAATGCGGCACCTACAAAAGAAACTCAAGAGAAAATGAACAGTTGGCCTATTTAAAGACTCTCCGAGGAGAGAGTGAAACTAAAAAAGGCTTGAAGACTCTGTTTTTGCGCTTTGTTTCTGGGCTCAACCAGCGAGCTGCAAACTCCTGAGTCAAGCCCAAAGAAATCTGACAAGTGACTGCGCGTCTAAAATAACATCAAGGATTTTATCTCTGGCAGCTCCTTTTGAGGCTGTGAGAACAATAAAAGCAATGATGGGTGGAAAACGAAGCACTGGAAATTGGGCTTTATGTAATCCTGATTTTTGACCTGCAGCTGATAATCACCTTGTCACTCAATCTGCGGTCAAAACGGTGAGTTTTAAATAAATCTGCAGCCAGGAATAGCCACGTTTCTGTGTTTCTGCTTACAAAGTGCAAAGTCAGAAGGTAGGTTAGAATAAAATGCTAACCTTGACCTATCTAGCCAACATGAATTCTACGGGAGCTCAAAGTGGCCAAAATTATAGTGCAGCCAACAGAGGATTTTACTCAAGTAAACAAAACTGCAAGTTTTACCATCACCAGTAAAAAAAAGTGATGTTAAAAATAACATCACATCACAACAACATCCAATTGTTGTGATGGCATGAAACATCTTTTTGTGTTACTACTGCCAGAAATGACAAAGAAGACAAAAGAAATGGTAGGAGGATGACAGGGCAGCCTGTTTTTATTGACTTATCTCATGAATAAACTTATTTACTTGTGATTTTAATGCATTTTTTACTTAGTAGAAACACAGAAATTGTGTTTTTTTACATTAGTGGAATATCAACTTTCAGCATCAATACACTGGGAAATAATAACTTTGCTAACTATTTTTGTCTAGTTTCTAGTGCAAATATCTTAGTATGCTTGAAACAAGACAAAACTAACAACTTTTCAGCAAGAGTTAACAGTTTGTTTTAAGTAAATAATTCCTCAACAGTGATGAAAAAATGCTGGCTCTGCTGGCAGATTATTTCTCATATTTAAAAAAATGATTGGAAAATGTCTTGTTACAAGTTGCAGTGACCTAGTCAAAGTCTGGACCCAAATCCAATCAGGAATTTGTGGTGAGACACAGAAATAGCTATTGACAGACTCCTGAAAACCAATCACCCACTCTCCAATTTTGCACTGAGTTAAGATGTCATTTAAAATCTAAATGAAACACATTGGATTATGTGGTTGTGACCTGCTATAATTAGGAGAAGTCAGTTTTCCTTAATGTCATCTCCAAGCAACAAGAGCACATCTACTGAGGCACATCTTCCCAAAAATACAAATAAAAAGCATCGAAACAAAGTAAAGTTTCTCAAATCAGCCTCGAGAATCCAGCTGCTAAGGGAAATAAAAATGATCTGGTAGACTATTGTGCATCAAGAGACTACAAATATTGATTTTCATCTTGAGTCAAGAGTGCAATAATAGGCTGCGAGGAATCTATTGTCTGTGTTGTTCTCCTATGTAAATGTAGTGTTTTCAGCCAACTAAGGGTTAATTATATTGGAGAAAAGCAACCAAGAACAATGTGATATAAAAGAAGAAAATCTGCCTGAGGTCTCCGTTCAAACAGACCCGGGCTGCAGTTTTTAATTGTGTTCCATGATTTTAACAATAGAGTCTGGGATGTAAGAGGCTTCATGTTACATGTTAGTCCAACAGAAAGCCTGGATCTTCCAGGTCATGTTGAGATGTGCGGATAATTCGTTTGGGCTCAACTGAAGACGACAGAACCAGCAGGAATAAACCTCGATTTGTTGTTTGAATTCACATTTTGCATGTTTTTGTTCTTCCGTTTGAGTTTCTGCAGCTTCTGTAAACAGCAAAACGCTAAAAGATAAAACACCAGGTCATTTTTTGGGCAGTAACTTAATGATCCATTTAAAACACCTTCAAAATGTAACGTAACAAATCAGCAGGCACTGCCCGTTTCCTAGCAACCAGCAGAACTCCACCCATCGCCTAGCAACCGAAGCAGAGCTCCAGCACATTTGATCAGCTGTTTTTATTCCTGCAAGAGACAAGATGTTGAATTACTATCCAGAAGGCGCTTTCCGCATTCCTGTTGGTTGTGCAGGCGGCTCCACTTCTGCTTTTCAAACACATACAGTTGCAGTCATTTTCGAATGTGAGTGTAAATTTTGAGTTGGACGCGTGGGCTGAAAATCTCATCATTTAAGAATTTATGCATCCATTTTCTTGCACCCTAGAGGCGGGGTCTCCCTGGACATTTCGCCATCGCAGATTATTTAAGAATAATGTTACGCAAAAAAATTTTCAAATCAAAACACGCGTTGATTCCAAGGGGAAAATAAAATGTTGGCTGCGGTCTGTACAGCGATAAAATGTAATTAAGATGTTTTGAATAGGCCATAGACCTACCTTAGCCTGATCCAGAAGCATAATGTGTCGCCTTTAAGCACTCAGGCTTGTTTTAGAAGCAGTTGAGACTCAAATGGAAGCTCAGAAATGTGTCAGGTGTGAATTTTACACAATAGGTCCCCTTTAAACCTCGTTTTTTTTTCAAGATCACTTCAAAGAAATCAGTGTTAGAAGACTTAAAGCCATTTCTAAATAAGCAGCTCCAAAAAAATCCAAAACACAAAGGCCACAAGGGCAGCACTCAAAATACCAATAAAGAATGAAATGGATGGAGACGGTTCTCCTTGTTGGCTGGGTGACTCCTCCTGCAGCTGATATGACTAATATTAAGGCCAGTGGCTTGTCTGGCATGCCTTTCTCCTGAGGTCAGCAGGACCGGGTGACAGACAGCCGGACGGGGCGGACAGAGAGACGGACAGGCAGCGGCGCTCGGAAACACAAACACCCCCGGCTGTTATTCTGGGTCTGGGACTCACTGCCAACGGCGTTCAATCGGATTTTCAGATGAAAGCGTTCAGCAAAGTGGGTTTTGACACAGCTGTTTGCAGAGTACTGACCTGACAATATAGAGTTATACATACAACACACACACACACACACACACACACACACACACGGGCAGTGACAAAGCAATCCTGAAAACGGGACTGAGAAAACCAAGATAAGCCAGAAGATGTGTGTTTGTGGCCTATAGGAAGGAAAAGGGGAAAAAACATGGAGTTAAGAATCGGTACTGTGTGTGTGTGTGTGTGTGTGTGTGCGTGTGTGTGTGTGTGCGTTGCGTGTCTGATGTCCTGTATGCTTGACTGCAGGCACTGCATGCTCACCCTGATCTTTCTGAAGCCCACTGAAGTGTGAAGCTCCAAGCTCTGTCCAAGAACGTGTTTCTGTTCATTTTTCATCCGTTCTGCCTCTGGGCTTTAATCTGCTGTCAAAATCCACCTAATAGACATTTATCATTATTTTAATCAAATGGAAGTTATTTTTATCTTCAAAAAATGTGTTTTGTTAAGTTTAAAATAGTTTTTGCATTCATGTTTGCAGTAATATTGAGGCTTTCAGTGATAAATGCCTGTTTGCCTGTTTGGCTTTTTATGCTGCTTCTTTGCTGCTGAGTGGATTAATTTCACTGTGAATAATAAATTCTCTAAAACCTCCTGCGGCGTATTAGAGCCAATTTACACCAAAAATTGGTATACATTTTCTGAGTTTGAAAAGTCACAAATTTTCTAAAAGATTCAGAAATTTTCTGGAAAAACTTGAAATTTCAAAAGTTGAAAATTGTTAAAAGTTTGAAAAGTAAATATCAGAAATTTTGGGATACATCTCCGAATTTGTTTTAGAAAATATGTGGAAGTTTGTGGCTTGAAAAGTCCAAAACGTGTTAAAAAACTTTTTCAGAGAAACTGGGAAATTTTGTGAGTTTCAAGTCGCAAAATTTCTGAAAAAGAAAAACACCAGAAATTTGAGATATTATGAAATTTTTTGGGGAAAAATGAGCAAATTTCTGAGATTTAAAAATTTAATATTTTTGATTTTTGGACATTTTCAGCTTTTCAAAGTTGAACATTTCTAGCCAGTTCCAGCCAGAGGTTGCTAACAGTCGCAGGCCTTCAGTGTCTTCTGGCCTCTGAATGTGGAGAAACTTCTGCACACAGAGTCACTTACTGGCCTTTAATGTTTCACTAAACACCAGTTGACAGATTACCTTTGGGTTTTCTCAGGTCCGGACGCCATGTTGAAGCCTCCTCTCAGTCTCTTCAGTCATCCCCAACAGCCCTTCCATTACATGGACTCTCTGCACCATTTAGGACCTCCACCCATGGCGCCTGCCCAACCCCTCGGCCCACCACCCATTGCTGCTACCCAACCAATCGGACTCCCAACTCTTCCTCCCACTCAGAGTCTTGGGCCTCCATCCATTACTCCGCCGCACACCTTAGCCCCGCCTCCAATGCCCCCAACCCAACCAATGGGGCCTCCTCCAATGGTGCACACTCTGGTTCCACCACCTGTTGATCCAACACAAGCAATCGTTCCTCCAACTGTTGACCTCACCCAGCCTTTGGGTCCTCCACACCTCCCCCCAGCTCAAGCTCTGGTCCCTCCACCCAGCCGCTTCCCGCTGCCCCCCGCTCCAGACCCAGACCCGTCACAGATTACCCCACGGCCCCCGGGACCGGCACCGGTATCCAGCTACCCGTGTGCGCCTCTGCCAGGCCAGGCAGCTCCTGCCAGCGAGCAGCCCCAGGATGAGGGCTCCTTGCTGGGGGTGGAGGAGCAGGACGACCCGCTGGGTCTGGAAGAACTGTGCAAACCACTGTACTGTAAACTCTGCAATGTTACACTGAACTCTGCTCAGCAGGCACAAGCTCACTACCAGGTGAGTGGAAACACACTCCTCCCAATGTAAAGCTGCAGAATGCAACTAAGACAAAGTTATGTTTGAACATACACAAGGGGGATTGACGGCGCTGAGACACTCCTCTTAGCTCTGATTAGTTGTTTCTGACTCAGTGATGGTAATTAGCACTAGGAGCTAAAGAAGCTAAACTTCTCAACAGATTATTTTATTAATATGTCACGATATATTAATAATTTTAACAAACATGTAAATATCTTTTTTATTAAGTTACATTCAAACAACATCAACATTCAGCAGCCCTTTTACTTTATGCCAACACCTGAATTGGGTGATATTTATTATTTGTAACTGGCCACAAAAAATACTAACTTCTGCATCTTTTCATCCAGGGAAAGAACCACAGCAAAAAGTTGAGAAATTTCTACGCTGGCAGCCAGCAGCCGCCTGCCATCAGGATCCCAGAAGCCCTGGAGGGCGCCGGTCCGAACGCCGGCTCAGGAGCCGCCGACGCTGATGCAGGCAGACAGGTGAGGCCTAGCTACATCATTTCTGCACCAACTTACCTGTTTGATCTGCGGAGGTGGGGGGCAGCAGCAGTCGATTAATGGTGACCTACTGCGCCTCCTTGAACAGGTCAGGATTCAACAGCAGCTACAAAAAAACATGTTTTTGCACAAATTTTGAGCTCCTTTCAGAACGAGATGATTTAGAGCGTCTTGTCACTTTAAATGCTCAACACTATGTGGGTTGCTATGTAACAAGCGGAGCTCCGCTGGGGTTGCTAAGTAACGGGCAGTGCCTGCTGGTTTGTGATGTCACATCCTGAAGGTTCAGACACCAAAACAAAAAGACTGGGTGGTTTTTTTAAGTGCTCCAGTTGTTTTTAGAAGCAAACAAAAGTACAAAAACACTCAAAATGTGAATTTCGCACAATAGGTCACCTTTAATCGTGGACGGACATTCTTCTCTCAGCACTGAACAGCATAGATTTTCATCTTCAGTCTTAATTTTTCTATTGAAAACTCTTATTTAAACCATTTGTTTACATCAGACGTCTGTTTCCTTGTCTCTGAATGGTGGTTGGTGTGCAAGAAAACAGAGAGAATGACTCAGAGATCGGTTTTTCTGCCTCTCAGTGATTCTGAACATTTCTTTTCCGTCTTTGCTTGGTGTTTGCTCTCTAACTCCTCTCACCACAAACAGTGCGATGCTTTGTCTGGTGTTTGCAGGCGCTGTATAAAGGGGCGCCGCGCGTCATCCTGGCCACTGAGAACGACTATTGTAAACTGTGTGACGCCTCCTTCAGCTCGCTGGCGGTCGCGCAGGCCCACTACCAGGGCAAAAACCACGCCAAGAAGCTCCGCCTGGCCGAGGCCCAGCAGAACTCCAGCAACATGTGGGTCTGGCTTGACAAACGTTTTCTGTGTCGGCAACTGTTTGTCTGAAAGGGATTTTTGTCTTCACCTTTTTGTAGGGAAGGCGGCAATGAGGGAGCGCCGAGAAAAAATCGGAAAGATGGCAACGAGTACCGGCTGGTGAAGAACCGCCGCAGCCCCCAGCTGGCCGCCACCATGCCAGGTCAGCAAGAAACTAAAACCAGTTTAACCTCTGAACTGTGACGGCTTAGTTACTTTGAATAAGCAACTTTAATTACTGATTACTCCTTGAAAAAGTAACTTGGTTAGATTACTAATTACTTGATTTGGAAAGTAACTAAGTTACATTAACAGTAACTTTTTTAGTTACTTTCAGCAGCTGCTGACAACAACGCTGTGAAAATTACACTGAGCTTTGCCAAAACTTCGTTATTTCATAAGGTAACATCGACAAAGTGTCTGCAACATTTAGTCCAGAAAATATGGTAATTAGCCCTGTCATGATAAGACATTTTGCTGGATGATAAATTCTCCTCAAAATTATTGCCACAAATGTTAATATTGTTGTTTCAAATAATGTAATAGTAATGGCATATTAACGCAAGCATGTCAAAGATCAAAATCACTTTGACTTCTGAAGAATATTTAGGAAAACATTTTAAAAATCCCAAATGAAAAACAAAGCAGCAATAATTAAAGTGGAATATTTCTATTTCAGAAAATATTAATGATCCGGCAGAGACAAGGAGAACAGGCAAAAGTGTCAGGTAGTGCAAACTAACGACTTCATTCAGTGTTTTTCCACCAGTTTCAATTAGAGCATCTCTTTAATAACTTCTGCTCTAGTGGAAATTATTGAGCTCATTTTAATGTGTCATGTGATGAATTCATTTATTGCAGATTGTAACAGACCAAACGCTACGCCCAGGCTTCCCTCTGGACTTTAGCAGCTTAGACTTAATGTGGATGCATGCATAATATATACCGTCTTCTCTTCAGCGCTGTAAGCTTTCCTGGCTGGCTTGGCGTTTGCAAACGTCCTTGATGCCTGGAGTGAGAGAGAAAAGACTTTAAATCTGCTGATTTCAGTCAGCAACAGAAACCGCCTCATAATGAAAAACAGGAAACGCTTCACAACAATTATTGCCCGTGTTGGTCAGGCGACTGGTGGCGATCTTCAGCCGTGTTTGTTTTCCTGCTAACCTATAGAGTAACAGCTTGCAGAGGAAAACCTCCACAGTGTCTGTTTTCACCTTTTTGAGCCTGTCTGTGTGTGTGTGTGTGTGTGTGTGTGTGTGTGTGTGTGTGAGTGTGTGTGTGTGCGTGTGTGTGTGAGTGTGTGTGTGTGTGTGTGTATGTGTGTGTGTGTGTAAGCAGATACAGCATTAGAACGTCAGACCTTGTGCTGACGTCAACATGCCCTTCTTGCTGTGTCTGATTCCAACTCTGCTTTTTTACAAACTCAGTATCAAATCGGCGAAGAGTAAAAACAATTTGTTTATTCTTTTCCACGATTATCTGCTCATGTCAGCAGATTTTATGATGGAAATATCCTAAAACAGCTGACATTGTGCAGTTTGGTTGCGTTGTCGCTGTCAGTTTTGTCTCTTTTTTTTCTGCACTTTTTGCACAAACAATAACCAACATTGTACTGAGTTGTTGTTTCTGAGCACTGAAGGCGGTTATTTTATCAGAATAAATGAATCATTCTGTCGTTTTTCTTATCCTATGATTAAACTTGCTTCTGTTTGCACTGAACTTTAAGAAAAGCAGAATTAGTCAAGTTTGTGTTCACCAAGAACGCTCTGCTCTGAAATCCACTTCCTGCTTTTGGAGCGGTTTCTGGTCTGCTTGGTGACCACGTCAGCATCGGATCAGCACCAGAGTTCACTTCAACCGAACCAAGAGCCAGGTTTGCAGGCAGACCAGTTTGACTGGACTAGTTCTTTTCAGAATGAGCTGTTGATGGGTGTCTTGTCTCTTTAAATACAAATAATCTGCTGCATTATTTGTACGTGCAAATAGCTGCGAACAGATGCACAATTCTAAAACGCTTTTGAAAAGCATAAGTGGATCCTCCTGCACAATCAACAAGAATGCAGCAAGTGGTTCCTGGATGGTGATTCTAAAGAATATGAAAACATTTTAAAAATAAAAAACAAAACCAAAAACTAGCTAGGTGTATTTTTAAGAATGTTTTTAGCAGAGATAAAAACTCAAATGACAGAACAAAAACGTGCAAAATGTGAAATTAACGCTGGCTGTTTGTGGTTCCGCCCCGTCCAGGGCCGTATTACAACCCGAGGCCGAGGCAGCGCATCCCCAGGGACCTGGCCATGTGCGTGACTCCCAGCGGACAGTTCTACTGCTCCATGTGCAACTGCGGCGCCGAGCAGGAGACGGACTTCCGGCAGCATCTGGAGAGCAAGCAGCACAAAGCCAAAGTGTCGGAGCTGAGATACCGCCATGAGATGGAGAACCTGGGCTACAGCTAAGAGGGACCCAAACGGATTCAAACATCCAAAATGGAGGCCAGATCTCACCGCAGATCATCTAAGATTTAATTTAAACATCAACCGAGACAGGAGCATTTTAAAAAAAATTACAGCAGCTCAAACATTAGATCCAGTAGTAAATAGTTACATCTATGTTTTCCTCATTTAAGATGTTTTGGCTCTTTACACTGCAAAAACACTAAATCTTACCAAGCAATTTGTCCAGTTTCTACTGTAAATTTCTTAATAAGCTTAAAATAAGAAAAAATTAACTTACAACTTTTCAGCAAAATAAACAAGTTTAAGTCAATAATCGCTTAATTTAGATGAAAAAGTTCTCGCTCCTCTTGCAAATAAATTCACTTATAAAAAGACATTTTTATAGTGTTATAAGAGAAATAATCTCCCAGTTGAAGTAGTACTTTTATATCAATATTAAGAAAATTATTTACATAAAACAACCTCCTATATCCTGCTGAAAAGTTACTTACAAGTTATTTTTTTCTTATTCCAGTTATTTACACTAGAAACTTGACTTGGTAAAATTTAACTGTTTTTTTTGTCAGTGCCTATATAATATTTTTGTTTTAAACTGATTATTAGTATTTATCCAGAGTAAAACATACTGAGAAAAAAAGATTTTGTTTTTTTGCCAAACAGTTTGGAAAAAATGAAAAAAAAAAAAACAACAACAAACTATTTCGTGAACAAATGGAAAGGACACAAGTGATTCCTTTTTGTACTTTCACTGACCTGCTTTCCTTCTCAGAGCTGAGCAGGATTCATTCAGACTCAGGTTACTAGAGAGAATGCAAATGAAATGCAAATAAATACTGGGCTCGTTCAGGAGACACAAACCGGAAGTCTGCAGGAACGTTTAGCAACGAGACACGGAGCTAAATGTGAAAACGGGGTCAAAAGTCAACAGGAATCAATCAGACCGAAGTAAAAACGGCTCTCCAGGGATTTTTTAACGGCTCTGACAGAGGAGTTCAACCCAAAGCACGACTGGCTGGTTTTCAGAATCAACTAAAGCACAATTAAATTTGCAGGAGTGTTAAATGAAACTGGGAGCTCTGGTTGACCTCTGACCTCTGCCAAAGCTCTGGCAATACAATAGAAACCAATCTGTACTGTGGTAGAGCTTTTCTATAACAAACCATCCAGATGCTATGTAAATATAAAAATGTTACATTGTAGGTGTAAATATAGTATAAAATATGAATCTTATTGATTCTTTAGTTATTCTCAGCATCTAAAGCAACAATGAATTTCTTTAATCATCCCTGCTCACTCTGACTCAGTACATCAGCACTGTATGTTTATTTATTTTTATTTTTTAGTGGATTTTACTAAAGAAACTTTGGTTCCTTCAGCGTTTGACTAAAAGCTGCTAATAGTCTCAGTTTGACTGCATGAGAATCAAAAACACTTTGATTGCAGAAATACTATGGAGAACAAAGGACCCGCTAATAAAATAAAAACTACAAGGATAAAGTTATAAAATTATGAGAATGAAGTGGAAATAATGTGACGATAAAGTCGCAGTATTACCAGAACAAAGCCATATTAGTTCAACTTGATTCCTGCATTATTATAGTGTTTATATTACATATTTATTTTCATAATTTTCACTTTATTCTCATGTTATTTTGTACAACTTTATTTTAATATTACAATTTTTTTGTAATATTACATTATTTTGTAATACTATGATTTTATTCTCATAATATTCAGTTTATTGTAATAATTTTACACCTTTATTCTCATTAATTTAACTTTATTCTGGTAAAATTGACTTTATTCTTAAAATATTACAAATTTATACTTGTATTATTTTGACTTTTTTCATGTAATAAAGTTAAATTTTTCTTGTAATTTTATTTTTTTTATTTTCTTAGTATGGCCCTAGAACTCCATCAGGCAGCCGAGTTGTGGAGGGAAACAGCAACATTTCCTCACAGCGTCTGACGCCAAACTTTGAATTAGTTTGTAAATTGCAAAGCTGCTGCAGGTTGTTTTGGTTAATCAAGCAGAAAATAATCTCGGCGTTTTACTGTGGTTTGAAGTGGCGTTGAGCAGATTCACAGGCTGCTGTGTCGTTCCTCTCAGACTCACTTCCTGTCGAGTTTCTGCTGCTATAACTGGACGTAAATGTGATTCTCCTGTTTCTTTTTATCTAATTTAATGTTCTAGTTCAGCCGAGCTGAAGAAACGCATTCATGAGGCGTTTTGAGTTCGTCGACCGAAAACGGGGACTGTACCTTTAAATTTGGCTAATATGAACATAAAAAAAGAAAAAATTATTTGATGCAAAAAGTTAAAGCATTGCTGACGGGGCGAAGGATTTTACTCGTGTAAAAACATCATCCTGTCAAAGTAAAACTGATTTTCGGAAAAATAAAGTAAAATTCTGCATACTAATTGACAAGAAAAGTAGAAATACAAGCATTATTAGTCTGAAAACACAAATTGCTTTTCACCTAAACAATCTGTAAAAGCCACAGTGTTACAAGAAAAAAGTCAAAATAATATGAAAATAAAGTCATAATATTATAAGAACAAAGTTGCAATAATATGAGGATATTCATAAAATTACGGGAATAAACATTTTATTTCTGTTAATGTTTTTTTTAACATTCAGATTTTTATTTTTAACAGAAAATTTAAAAATCTAATTATTACCTTCTACTTTTTAAATACACTTAGAGACGATCCTAAAATAATTTCCTAGTAAAATATTTTAAAGTTGCGGCTGCAGTTTAACCAAACTGGCAGAAGCACAAAGGCTGTGAGTCGCTTTTACATTTTGATGACCAACACAAACCTGCCCACATTCACACACTAATAATGTGAGTGTTTACATTAATTATGAAAATGCAAAAAACTTTGATCATAAAGGAGCAAAAAGGATCTGAGGAAAGTAACCAGGTTTGGGAAACGATTTCCTTTTGTTTAAACTTTATACTTTATCCTCCTTTTTCCTAAAAATAACATGTTTTTGTGCCTCATGATTTGATAAGATGATTTATTGCGCAGACAGAAACCAGGATGGAAAATGAGATTCTCTCTCAGGGAAGCAGAAAGTGCAGGATGACCAGAAACAATCAAACATTTATCTCATTTTATTCATTTTCTTTGAAACCAATTTTACTTTCTAGCGACTTGTGTGCATTTTAACCAAAGACTGAAGTTTCTTTGCCAGATTTATCTGAGCAAAGTTGGACCTTAAAAAAAACTGCATCAAAATTATTAAATTTTACTTTAAGTTTGGCCTAAAATATACTATTTCATTCATTATTTTTGCTTAATATGAGCATTTAGAAACTGTTTTGTGGTGTTAGACGTCCTCAAAAAGTGATAAAGAGTAAATAATGCACTTATTTTTGAGAAGATTTGGGAATTTTTAAGTGCATCCTAAAAGCACCGAGCGGTAAATCTGCCTCCTTGTTCACGTTTAGATTTACTTTAAAGATCACCTCCTTCACTCCTGGAACAAACTAAGATACGTTTATGGGCTAAACAAAACATCCTGATTGCATTTTTTATTTTCACTTTTTACACAAAATCATTTTTAGATCATAAAATTTCAGTCTGGCCTGTTCTGCACATTTTGAGCTCTGCTGGGGTTGCTAGGTAACAGCAGAGCTCTGCCGGGGTTGCTAGGTAACAGCAGAGCTCTGCCGGGGTTGCTAGGTAACAGCAGAGCTCTGCCGGGGTTGCTAGGTAACAGCAGAGCTCTAGTCCAATGTGACTCGACATTCATGAGGATTTTGCGATGGCTCATTTTCCATACACTGTAAAACATGAAATAATTGCCAAAAACAGCTGTTTTTTTTAAGTGCTTCAGCTGTTTTCATAAAGAGTGGAAACATAAGTGGGAGAACGAAAATGCAAAAAATTTGAATTTTGTTTCTGTCTTCTCTTAAGACAACATACAAATCTAAACTAAATTATTTCAAACTATTAATTTAATATTAGTTTATCCCATTCATTAAATCTCTAAACCTTCATTGCCTCATTGAGACTGAAACTATTTGTAAGTAAAGGACTTAAACTGCGGAGCTACTTTAAAGTGTGACTAATAGTAAACAATCTCTGTACTTGTATTTAAGAATTTGTTGTTTTGTACTTGTGAAAGACGACAAAAATCTACAGTTAAAAGTTCCTGTAAGATTTAAATCTCTGACTTCGACTTCACAGTTACGAAGCACAGATACTTTTGTACCAAATATACTTCCGTATTGAACAGCCACATTGGTAAATGCTGCTTTGTAGCGCTGAATAGTGCGTCTGATCTCAACAATGGGCTGCACAAATATTTTACAGTCTGATGTAACTTGTTTTTTGCCTTCTTATTTTACCAAGATAGATCATAGAATGGTTAATGACAATATAACTTTATGAAGTTGTTTCACTGTTATTGAGATGCTGACATGTTTCAAAAATAATTAGTTGAATGTTAAACTTCAACGTTTTGTTGTACATGGCAGAAATGCCCGACTCTTTTATTTCTTTGTGCATGAAGAAAGTTGCAGCCATGGACTGCTGAAGGAGAGATTTGTATTTATTTACAGATATTTCTGGATAAAGAAGAAAGTTAGCAAAACAAGTTTTACACTGGATATTAAAAAAACGGGCATTGGTGTTATATGGAAAGACATTTTACCATTTATTGTTACTTTGAAGTGAAGACTATGTTTGTTGATATATACCTCTCAGTATAAATGTAATGTTTACGATGGCGAGCGGTTTTGGGACTCTGGACTAAACCAGGAACCTCAGACAGGAAAAAGAGAAGTTTAGCTAAAAAAAAAAAATCATAAACTGTGAAACATTTAAAATGTTGAAACTGTTTGCCATACTGGATGGAAACCTGAATCTATTTTTGTCTTCTGTTTGGCAGAATCTACACATAACGGTTATTTTCAACTTGTATTAGTTTAAAAGTTGCAGATGAAATGTTTGTCATGAGGCACTTTAGTGTTTGATTATCTAAACTTTAAAAAAAAGCAAAATAACATTTGATTTTTTAAGTTTAAACTCTTGTTTATCAACATCATAAGCATCAACTTCACCAACTATTTAGAGTTTTCTAAAGTGGGGGTATGTTGAGCATCAGCAGCAGTCAGTATCTTACCAGAAGGAGAATCAAAAATTAGAGTGAAAAGTACTATTTCATTCACCACTGTATCTTAAAATGACATGCTTATTTACATAAAAATCTATAAAAGTATTTATTGGAACCCCAAGATTATTTTTATAAAAATATATTTAAAAAATAAACTTAAACAAACCCATATTTTGCTGCAGTGGTCGTATTTATGAATGCCATGTTCGTTTTGTTTTTCTTAGAGTGATTAAAATAAATTGGCTTCTGGGTCAAATTACATTTACTTTAAAGCTTTTTCCAACATTTTCACGATTGGTTTTGTTGGAGGCATTTTGTTTTTGATTTTCAACTCAATAATAATGTTCCATAGGAAACATATCAGTATCTTCTACTTGAAAAAGAAAAAGTTGCTCATAAGTTTCAAAAGTTATATAAAATCTTAGTTATTTGATATAAAATCATGATTATAAATTTTAATAAAATTATGTATTTGACATCCATAGTCAAAATCATAGATATCAAGGTCATAATTTAGATAATAGCTTTAGATACAAAGTTGAGTTTGTGACTTAAAAGCTCAATTATGAGATCTGATTTAAAACGAGGGCTGCACAAAGGTGTACAGAAAATGAATGGATGGATTTGAAATGATAAATTGGTTTTTCAAATTAATAAAATTTTAAAAATTGAATTATACCATTTAAAACAATAAATTCGATTTTCTGTCATAAGATACAAAATAATAGTTGTGCAAAACATGTCGATAATTTTTAGATTCTACTTCAATAATTCTGACTTGCAAAACTAGATTTGCAAAAAAAAATATTTAGGATTTTGAAGTAATCATTTTAAAAACATCATTCTGAGAAATAAGCAAACATTCTGTGATAAAAATCAAAATGATGAGATCTGACTTTCAAAACTGAATTTTAAAGGCATCATTTTGAAGTCATTTTTTATATATAAAACTAAAAGTCATGAGAATAATTTGAAGTCATAAGTTTGACTTTCAATTTCAATTGCATCATTGTGAGAAATAAGCAATAAGTATTTGAAGTGAAAGCAGAAATATGTGATTTGTAGTCAGAATTATGAGTTTCTAATTCCTAATTGTGAGATTCAGTAAATTCTTAAAAAGGGACGGTGATAATTGTCCAAACACACCCCTCCTGTCTCACATAGAAGCCGGTATATTCTGGTTTAAAGACACTTCGGGATCCTCCCCCTCTGGTTGCTGCCCAGGGCCGTGAATCTAACGGCATCGCCCCTGCAGATGATGCTGTGATCGTTGTGGAAAAACCTCAGCACACGTTTAGTGCCTCTGAACAGCATTAAAACTCCATTCTACTGTCTCAGTGAACGCCTGTAGTTTCTGTGTATGCTTGTGTTTCATGACAGATGAATAAACATGCAGGCGAAAAAAAGTGAGCTGCGGTTTTCATCACTAAAGTCTCATCTGGTCTCTGCTGTGGCTCAGCTCACAGCGCTGCAGGGGAAACATGGAGCCATCATTCTGAAAGGAGCAAATGTTCTCCATTGTCTACTTTAAATAGTTATTTGTTATATTACTCTGAATAAAAATAAATCTGTGCCTCTGCTGAGTTGTTTGTGTCATCAAGTTGGTGTGAAATGTAACCTGCTGACCTCATCGTAGATATTTACAGAACAGAATGATTCAGCGTTTTGTTTTGTTAAAAATCATTAAACCTGCAGTGAAAAGTCAGTTTTCATACAATGGTGTATTAGGGCCTCTGCACAGACAAAAATAAAAAAGAATAAATTCTGCCGAAAACTCATATTTTGAGACAAATGTTACATTTTTTTAGAAAAAAAAACCCATTAAAATTTCTAGTTTCAAAAGTCAAACATTTTTTACCTTTGAAACAGAAATTTTCAAGTTTTTTCTAAAACAATACTGAGATTAATCTTGAAATTTCTGAGTTTTTTTTGCAAATGTTCAATTTTTAAAACAGAAATTTTCTGAAAAAAAAATTGAAAATTTATGAGTAATCTAAAAATTTTGGAAGTTTTTTCCAAGTAAATTTTATACTTTTCAAACTCATAATATTCTTGTTTTCTTATCATATATATATATGTAGATCCATAAAGATCCATAAATACATCAGGGACAAAACCTCAACAGACAATGTGCTCAGTGAATGTCTCAGACAACAGGGAACAGAGGTTGAGGTGCCAGAGATACCATCATGGGAGGACAAACCCCTACATGGGATGTACCACCAGCAAATAACCCAAGTGGCTGATATCAGTAAATCCTACCAATGGCTGGAAAAAGCTGGACTCAAGGACAGCACAGAGGCCCTCATCCTGGCCGCCCAGGAACAGGCCCTAAACACCAGAGCAATAGAGGCCCAGATCTACCACACCAGACAAGACCCAAGGTGTAGGTTGTCAAGGAGGCCCCTGAGACAGTCCAGCACATCACAGCAGGGTGCAAGATACTGGCAGGAAAGCATACATGGAGCGACATAACCAAGTGGCAGGCATAGTGTACAGAAACATCTGTGCAGAATATAGACTGGAAACCCCGAGATCAAAGTGGGAAACACCCCCAAAGGTGGTGGAGAACGCCAGAGCTAAGATCCTGTGGACTTCCAGATCCAGACAGACAAAATGGTAATGGCAAACCAACCAGACATTGTCGTAGTGGATAAACATCAGAGGAAAGCCGTTGTGGTAGATGTAGCAATACCAAGTGATTGCAACATCAGGAAAAAGGAGAAACTGGAGAAATACCAGGGCCTCAGGGAAGAACTGGAGAGGGCCTGGAAGGTGAGGACCACAGTGGTGCCTGTGGTCATCGGGGCCCTCGGGGCAGTAACCCCCAAACTGGAGCAGTGGCTACAACAGATCCCAGGAACAACATCAGACATCTCAGTACAGAAATGTGCAGTCCTTGGCACAGCCAAGATACTGCGCAGGACCCTCAAGCTCCCAGGCCTCTGGTAGAGGACCCGAGCTCAGAGGATAAGAGCGGTGGTGGAAAGGGAATTTTATATATATACTATATATATAGTGTGTGTGTGTGTGTGTGTGTGTGTGTATATATATATATATATATATATATATATATATATATATATATATATATATATATATATATATATATATATATATATATATATATATATATATATACACACACACACACGCATACATAGAATGAGTGAAACTTCACGTCTCTATCTTGGAAAAAAAGCCCTGCAGCTCGGGGACGTGCAGACTTGTGTTTTTTACAGTGTAGGAAGGGAGGGGGACGTGTCAAAAACAGGAAGTGTGTGTAGCTGTCCAACGCCCAGCAGCAAGACATTTTACTGTCATTTTTAAATGTAACATGAAAAGTTGAAAAATGTCTCCTATTTCAGAACTTAATTATGTCAGAGTTTTTGCACTAAATAATTATTCAGGGTTATTTTTTAAATGCTTTGCATAAAATAAACATTACTTTGTATGTTGCAGCATTTGTAGTTCTGCTTTCAGAAAAGAAAAGCAGCATTTCTGAGGCTCATTTAGCTGTTGTTCTTCAGCGCCATCTAGTGTTTGTGACAGAAAGCAAACCAGTGCAGTTTGCTTTACATGAGTTTCTGAGCCTGACCTCACAGATAAATAATGAAGCTGTTCCTAGACAGAGTTTTAGCAGTTTATGTTTCCAGTGCTGACAGAAAGTTTGCATTAAAATCTGATTTTACTGCTGAAGTTTTTCCTTCTCTCCCATGATTCTTTCCTAACAGTTTAGAAAAGCTCATTGCTCAGAAAACTATCAAATTGTGTCATTTTGCAGTTTTGAAACAAGCATTTTGTCACAAAAATTTAAGTAATTGTAAGATTTACTAAGACCCAAAAATAGCAACACTCTAGTTGATTGTTTTCATGAGGAAACTGAAGCTGCTGCTCCAGTTTGTTTCAGTCTGGACTTGGAGCTAACGGCTAGAGACAGAGAAGCTAGTTAGTTTTATTTTGACAAGCTTACTTCCTGTTGAGCCTTGTTGTGCTATGTGCATTAATAACATTTTAGGACCATTTGTAATTTAGAACCATAGTTTAAAAAAACCTAAATACTTTTATTACTTTGGTAGAAATAAAAATCCTCTTCTGCACCATTAGAAATAAAACATATCCACACATTTTTATTAGTTGCATTTATTTTCTGATTATTTTTAATTAAATAAAGATAATAGCTGTTAACATTTAAGCAAGCAAAGTCGTAAAAAACAAAGAACAGTTCTCACCAACAGACTAGTTCACGACAAAGAGCCTTTCAAAAGAATCAGTCAGGAATGGCTTCCTCTGATCATTTAGACAGAGCTGGGGAGTAACTAGTTACATTTACCTGAGTAATCTTTAAAAAAGATTACTCAGGTTTTTACTACTACTCAATTAAAAGTAACTTTATTATGAAGTAATCTCTGCTCTTACTTGAGTAAAAGTTATAGATTTTCTACCTACTGAATGAAAAATAAACATGTTTAATTCAGAAATTCACCAGGCAGACACCTGCAGTTCTTGTTGAAATTGTATATTTTTTTATAGAAATTTTTTTCTTTTGGCTGATATTATTTCTTGTTGCTAAAGTAAATTATCGTATTTTTCGTCCTTAAAATACCAAAATCTCCATCTGATTATGTCATTTTCAAACATGAAATAACGGTAATTTGATCACTTATTTTTCACCAAATACTTTTTACTTGAATAATTTCATGAACGTCGACATTTTATGTTTACGTGAATAAAAATATGTCGAAGCAGAACGACTCTTGCTTCAGAACAGTTTTTTTCTGCCAAACTCTGCATGCAGGAAAACCTGGTGTTTTCTTGTATCCGGTTCGATCCATTATTATTTTTAAACACAATCCTTTGCTAAGCCAGCTGTAGCGTCGCACGTCGAGCTGACGTCACGGTGAATAAATGGTCGTTTACGTGCAGTATCCGGCGGGCCACAAGGGGGCGACCGCGGTCCACAGTTTGATTAAAACAGAGTCACTGCCAAATAAACGGCCGCTCACACCGAGTGCAAAACATGTGGAGACATCCGCCATCTTTCTGCAACACAAACAAACAACATAATGTGAAGAAAAGAACCAGATTGCCAGAAACAATGAGCATCTAAAGCTGTTAAAAACTAAACGTAGGCCCTACCTGTATCGGGGCGAAGCAGTGAGGGCAGGGTTTGGTGTTGGTGGTTATCCATTTTTCGCTAACATGCTCTTCAAAGGTGTAAACAAAGAATTTTCGGCCATATCTGTTTTCTAGGAGGCGACGCCTCCGCTTGCTGCCTTTAGCGTAATCCTCCTTTAGCGCCTGCATCCCGTCTGGAAAAAAAAAATATATATATCCTGAAACACAACCTGGATATTCACTGCTGTTTGAAAAACCTTTCATAACAATTTTCTTTAACAATTTATATCATATAATCAAATTTCATTTAATTTTCATGAGTTTATTTCAGAGTGGTGTTCGAACTTTTTGAAACATGGGCTACAATCCCAAAGTGGAAAGTATTTAGGCGGCCCTGTTGTTTTTTAAACTTAAATGCAAAATAATTGTTTTGATTTAAAAAAAATCTGAATTAAACATGCAATAGCTTTTGTCTTAATAAAAGAACTAATGTATTGGGTATTTATTTTCAGTTTATTTGGTCTAAAAAAACATTTAGATTATTTCCAGTAATAAAAACTTGGTATTAACCAAACTTATTAAAAGAATTGATATGCAATTTGTTTGTTTTTTTAGTAAAAAGTCAGATATTTATGCCCTACTTACTATGAAATTCAACTTAAAATAAGACACGACTATAACAGGCAGTGCACAAAGTCTTTCTCTGTATAAATTTGAAATGACCACACAGAATTGTTCCAAGTGCCATTAATGACCCACAAGCCAGACTTTGGACACCCGTAGTTTAAGGTAAATGGTTTCCTGAAATCGCTTAAGTTCAACCAAATCATCAGACTTTAAAGATACACAGAGGTTGTTGTTTTTTAACAGGAAGAATGGAGAATGTACCTTCTGTATTTGGTGCAGCTATCAGCAGATCGTTACTCTTCTCTGTAGGTAAGTCAGGTTCTTCATAGCACTTGCTTGTTCCATGGTATGTTTTTTTGCAGTCTATGCAGAAAGCAAAGCTGCAGACAGAGCACATTCCTGCTGGGCTGGACTTCTCCAAGATCACAGCAGAACCGCAAGTGAGCCGAGGACAATATGTGATGTCTAAAAATTAAAGATAAAAAATGAGAGATGAGAATGTGTGGTGTTCCTTTAAGCCTGAAATGTATCCGAGTGACCTCTAATGCTTTGTTGAAGAGGATAGCTTATAAAAAAACATGTTCATTAAACTTTTTTGCACAAAAACTCAATGTTTAAACCCTCATGTAAAAACAGCTGCAAACAGCTGCACCATTATACAACCTTACATCTTTGACAAGCGGAACCTCCTTTGCAACCATCAATGCAGCAAGAGGTTAATAGATTTTAAGTCAACAAGAAAACTCTTATGTTTTCCAGCAGCCATTGTACAGCAGCTGCATACACAAGTAAGACCAGCTGACCAAATGTGTTGGAGCTCTGGCTCATTTTCCAGACACCAAAAACATGAACTTACACTGTGTTCCAAATTGTTATGCAAATTGGATTTAAGGGTCATAAAGATTTAAATGTTTTTGTTGTGCTATTAAATTTACAGATGTTATTGTGTGTCAGGGCTCTTTGAATCACTATAATTAATTTTAGAGAGCTGGGTTGATCAGTTTGTCTGGTGAGCTCAATTAAAGGAAATCTATTTAAGAAGGATGTTCCACATTATTAAGCAGGCCACAGGTTTCAAATATAGTAAAATACTGTTCTCATTCAGTAAAATTTGATTTATACTGTAATACTTCATGACTTGAAAATTGTACTGACCATCATTTGCATTGACCATTTAAGAAAATATGAGAAAATATCACTTGCATAATAATTTGGAACACAGTGTATTGTCAAAAAACGTCTGGCTTTTTTGTTCTTAAACATTTAGGTTGTTTTCTGAAGCAGTTCAGACCTAAATGGAAACACAAAAATGTCCAAAATGTGTGTTTTGCATAATAGGTCTCCATTATATATAGGCATACCAGGCATGATGTCCAGGGTAGACTGAAGCAGAAGACGATCGTATCTGTGAAAGAGCTCCTCTCCTACAAGACTTTTCACCTGAAAGAGGCATTAGAGACGCACAGAAGGGGAAAAAAACTCTATGCATGTATGAGATTTATGTAATTATTTTCACCAAAACAAACAAAAAGGAAGAAAAATGCTGTAAATTTATGGCTTATTGTAGCTTTTGAAATGTTTGTAAAAGTAATAACTACTTCCTACTTTGTTGCATTAACTTTTCTACTAATTCTATATTTTAGATATTAGTGGAAACTATCACTGTTGTGACAGTTAGGAGCGATACAAGTTTAGCTCCTCTACCTTCTCCCAATGCTTACTAGAAATAACCAATCAGAGGAAGGAGGCGGGTCTTAGTGCTGACAATCACAATATGACGCGGCTTTGATCAAGCAGCTAGCATAGCATGTCGTGAATGGTAACATTAGTGTTAGTGGAGCTAACGTTTATGGTTAGCACTTTAGTGTTAGCTTCCACTAACTGCAACATTTTGTGAAATGATTTTATCAGAGCGTCTCAAAATGCGGCGCACCTGTGCAGGTATTGGCATGGCAGAGCACTCTATCTGAGGACAGGTAACGCCGCGGACGTTCCCCGCCGTAATCTGGGCTTTCCAGAACTCGTCGAGACAGGCCCGGCAGAAGATGTGGCTGCACTTGTACAGCTGCACGCACTCGGACCCGAGCCGGATCGAGAAACACACGCCGCAGTCAAAGGGTGTGGCAGCAAACACCTTTTGTTTCTGCTCTGCGTCATGGATCAAAATCTGGGACAGGAGAATCTGAGACGCAGTCAAAGAGAGACCAGGGTCACTTTGGACTTCCTGTCCGTCCGGGACGACTTCCTGTCTGTCCGGGACGACTTCCTGTCCGTCCGGGACGACTTCCTGTCCGTCCCGGACGACTTCCTCTCCGTCCGGGACGACTTCCTCTCCGGCCGGGACGACTTCCTCTCCGGCCTGGACGACTTCCTCTCCGGCCGGAACAGACGCAGGAAGTTCAGATCTGTCTGCAGCTGAGGAAGAATGGTTCTGGTCAGAAGGAAGCTCCAGCAGATCGTGTATGTCCAGCTGCTTCAGGGCTTCCTCTCTCAGAAACTGGATCCAGGAGAAGAGCACCACAGCGCCCCCAGTGGCCTGGTAGAGATCTGTGAGGTGATCACTCAGGGACTTTAGCTGAGACAGAGAAGCAAAAAACATGTTTAAGCCATGATTTGGAGGAGTTTTACATATTAGGGCCATTATACATAGAAAAGAAGGAAAAACATTTCTGCCAAAAATCTCTTCCGTCAAATTTTTTTTAGATTAATCTCAGAATTTTATATATCAAAATATATATATAAAAACACACAAACATTTAAATCATCTTTGACTTTTGAAACAAATTTTCTAAGGTGTTTGTAGTAGGAGCCGAGTCTCAAAAGCCAAAAGTTTGTCAAAAAATAAAAATAAAAAAAAATAGATTTTTGCAATTTTTATTTTATTTTAAGCCAATAACATTTTAAACCAACAATAACTTTAATCCATTGTCATAGTATTTTCCTTGGAGTCTGCAGATGCTTTCCTCTGGTCTTATAGGTTCATTTTCAATGTGGACTTTGACTGGATGCAGAAAATGCTGACTGGGAATAAATTTCACTCACTCATTTTTGGCGCCCCTGTAGCGCGGCGCCCATCCCTATACGTTACATTCAGTACATAACTTTTTATTTATTTATTGTGTGACTGGTCCCAGTACATTGTTTCAGACGTTTTTCCACCACTGTCATTTATTCATTACCTGTGGGCGAGTCAGCCAGCTGCAGGTCAGAGTGAAGGCGGGAGGGGCGGAGGACGGGTAATCTCCAGGAAGTTCAAAGGTCAGAAGCAGCGGTGGAAGGAAAGAGACGTCATACTGCCTTATTGTTCCACCTAGTCGGAAGGAAAAAAACAAGTTAATGACACTGAAAGTTGCCTGTTATGTTACGAGTCATGTCTGATTTTGTATTTTTGCTTCAACAAAGATATTAGAAATGTTTAATTCTTTTTCTGACAAAGAAAAGAAAAAAGGTCGTGTTGAAGCAAACAAGTGATTGGACTTTAGGAGCGCTTCATCTTCACTCAAAAGTGGTTAAGGATTTCTTGGAAGTCGTATCTTGATAGCGACTGACGAATATATTTTGTTGAGGTTTTTATTACAAATATTCTACCGTACTAGCCAACATGAACGCATCACGGAGTTAAAGTGCTACCGTAAAAGCCAGTGTAGAAGCGCAGCTCCTCACAACATCGCACTTCTGCCCTGTTTTGCTCAGTTTTCTGAACTATACCGTGTTTTAGGAGCACAGTGAATCCCGCTGGCAGCTCCGCGGAAACTCGGAATTCTCCCGCAGACTTCGACTCATTTCGGAGGAACTCATCCGAACCAAATATGCTCTGTAGGGCGAGCAGCTCGTCTTCCTGCTCCTCCAAGTCCGTATTCATGAAGTCCAGAGACGATGGAAATAACAGCGAAGCCGCTTGAAACGAGCTCGTTTTGAAACTACCTTCAACAAGATGATGAACAATGACTACAACGTTTAAAATGGACTGAGTTACATGTCAGCTGTTCACTGTGTCCATCGGCTTCCTGGTCCGTTTGGGTTCGTCCCTCAGAGGACTCGCCTTAATAACCTGCAGGCTGATGCAAGGTTCAGGATCCAGCTGTAAAAACTCCACAGCGCGTCACTGGAAACTCAAACCGCGTGTTGTTGTTGTTTGGAAAATGTAATTTTAGTAAAATCCACTGGATGCTTCTTGTCCTCACTCATAATTACAGTAAAACATATTTTGGCTCTAAGCTGTTCAGTGATTTATACCCAATAGGCCGTTTAAGAATCTGCAGTGATTTTATCTTTATAAGGAAGCAAACAACAACACGTCAATAATAAACAAAATATCGTCAATTAAGTTTAAACTGAAAAATAATAAATTTACTGCAAATATTTTCTTATCCATTTTGAAAAAAATTCCTCCAGATTTATATTTATTTATAACCTTTAAAGCCACGTTTGTTTTGTAGCTATGAGAAGTTAAGATCTGTGAAGTCTGTGTTTTTTATTTCAGAGGGCAGTTTAATCCGCTGTTGCCTATAAGAAAACAATAAAAAAACAACAACCATAATTTCTTGTATAAAACCATAAAAAATGTTTTATTATCACAACAGGAAAGATGTGAGTGCAAGACTTATACTCCCTCTCCTTTGCAGAAATAATGAAATTCCCTAAATTCCCAACAATTAACAGAAATGTATAACAGAGGTCAAAGAAAGCTACATCAAGACCAACATATCTTAAAAAATAAAATAAATAATAAAATGGCTTAGTCCTGAGACAGTGCATTTCTTTGGTTTGACATGTTGAAAATGATGGGAAAGAAAATCAGAGAAGAAAGAAGACATGAAAAGTTCTTAAAGTTCATTAAGCTTGTTGGCATGTAAAACCCGTCAAATGAGGCTGTAGTTTTCCTTCAGGTGGATCTGGTCCGCTATGGTCTGCTGCGCCTTGCTGAGCGGTTTGGGCGGCTCTGGCTTGTATCTTATTATAGTTACGGTTTTCGGTTTGCGGGGTTTATTCGAAAATCTCCTCTGATGGGCATCGAGATAAGCTGCATTTAAAGAAGGAGACAGACAAGTCAAGTACACTGCTAAACAACAATACGTATTTTACATTATATATTAACCCAATTTTAACATTTTAGTCACGCTGGGTGAGATGGCTCCAATCTTTTTCATACCACATGTGATTTTAATAAAAAGATGTTTCCAAAAACAAAATTACAAACTGCAGAAAATATTTTTTAAAAGTGCCTTTTACTTCTGTCATTCCTTTCTGCGTAGAATATAATATTAGCAGAATACAGACGCAATTTTATCAGGTCTTAAAATTAGAAGAAAAATGTCCTTGTTTTTTAACTTTCTTGCCTTTAAATATAAGAACAGGAAATTAATTAACTAATTAATTATAAAAAGGGGGGAAAACCCAGCAGTGTTGAGTCTGGGCTCAGCAAACGTGTAGCAATACAAACAAAAGATACATAATAAAAAACATAATCTTAATGAGAAAAAAGTTTAAATTATAAATTTTTTTGTTATTTTTTATGTTGGAGTTCTCATAAATTTACTACTTCATTCTCCTAATATTATGACTTTATTCTAATGATAAGACTTTATTATAAAATAATAATAATAATAAAGGCTGATTCTTATGTTTTGTTGTACAGTTGACCCAAATTCAAAGTCCAATTGAATAAAAGCTGTAAACAGAAAAAAAAAAGCTTGTCAAACAAGATGGCCGCCCTGGGCATGCTGACATGTTTTGTAACTATGGAAACCCAAGAAGTACATTGATGACAAAAAAAGTAAAAAATTTTCAAAAATTAACTCTCCAAAAACCAAAAATGTGACGCAGCCCTACATGTTAGTGGTATTTTTTTATTATTAGATTCTAAGCCCAATTTAATCTAAATTCTTCTCCTCAGGGTATTTATGTCTGAATTTCAGGTGCTGTGTAGTTTCACTGCAGTTCTGGTGATATCTGTGGAGTCCCACCTGCCGTCGTGAGACACTCCTCCTTGTGACCTTCGTCCCAGGCTTTCGATTTGCAGGACTTGGAGCAGAAGTTCACCCTCTGGCAACGGCCACAAGGCGCCAGCTTCACAAACGCAGAGCGGCCGCAGAAATAGCAGAACTTATGCAACGGTGGCCTGAGGAAGGATTTACAGTGGCGGGGTTTGAGAAGTGCAGTGTGAAAGGCTGACTGAAGAGAAGGGATATAAAAATAGTGTGTGTACTTGAGAGGTTTGGGTGATGCTTTTCCATGAGCCCAACGCCTGCTTGGGGTCTCATCCTCTTGACCTGTGGGTGTTATTAGTGTTTATTTAGTCACTATTACAACTAAAAAAACCCTCATTCATGCCACAAAAGTCAAATTATATTGTCAATAGAAATGATAACAACCTATTACTCTCTGAGTGTCTGAATATTTCAAGGGGACATATTATGTCAAATAAGAATATACACAAAGTCCAGGCCTTACAGAATTATATTTTGACATCAGAATATTGGAAAAGTCAGTCTTGCACTGAATCAATTAATCACATTAATTGTCAATAATAATCAACTAACTTAGTCATCCATTAATCATTGACTGGTGTATACACTCAAAAATCTGCTGAAAGAATAACACACACAGAGCAATAAATAAGCCAAAATTGTACAAAAAAATATAAACATTTTGCATTACAGATAAAAATAAAACCTTTGCCTGAAAATATGTTCTGCCCAGAACTTCTCAAGTGGAAGTTATTGCTGTCCAACGATTAATTGATTAATCTACTACTTGCTTAATATACTTACTCTTAAATTACTTTACAGAAATAAATAATAACTTGCATACGTTTTGCAAATAAAATGTTGCACTTACCAGACAACTGAGGGGATTGCTCCAGATCTACAGCCTTCCTCTGCATCAGACCAATATTCTGCCTCAACAGATTCGCCATTAGAGCCAGAAGTTGGCGCCATTTCTTTATTAGATCCCTTTCCTGCATGTTCAAGGCGTGGAACGGAGTGTGAGCAAAACGTGGATCCTAAACATATACAGATGGAAGCACTTACAGCACCTCAAATCATTTTTAACCTCCAGAGGCAAATTATGAGACGGTGCCAGAGGGTTACCAGCTGGAGGGTGAAGTATGCAAAGTCGATAGCGGTTCCCTCCACTTCGCCCACTGGAACTTGCATCAAGATATCAGCACCAGCCTCGGCTAACAAGTCAAACTAAAAAGACACAGAATTTGATCTCATTACATCAGCCATACATTATTTACACTTATTTGTCTGTAAAAGGGGAGAGCAATTTAGTTATAGAGCTAAAAATGTTTGAATTGAAAAAATATTTTAAGTTTTAACATTTTTTTAATTATTCAGTTTAATTTTTTTCTGTTTCAGTTTAATTTTTTTTAACGAATTTTATGGCCCCAATTTAGCTCCATACAGGACACAATGTTGACAGATAGCAACCAAGTACAGAGCAATACAAGAAAATGTGCTTTTAGGATAGTTTTGTCTTATTTCAATTGCAATAAGATATTTGTACTCTGTACTAGACAAAATTATTGAGTAAGGTTTTGCGTTTTGCAGTGGATAGCTGACATTTTTTAATCCTTCATTTATTCCAGGAACTTTATCACATTATACAGAATATTTCTAAACATATGGATGATTAAAAGTCTTTATTTCTGATAATAATGACGATTTTCCACTTACAGTTAATAAAATTAAAATGTTTCATGTCAAGAATTCCTTCATACTGATGAAAAAATACTAGTTATTGGTGAAATAATCTGCAGGGAAAAATGTTTCATTCCTCTGCCAGATTATTTCACCTAGAACTGGTATTTTTTCCATTAGTATTAAGAAATTATTTACTTAAAACAAGTTCCTATATCTTGCTGAAAACTCACTTTTAAGTTAGTTTTATCTTACTTTGAATTAAGATATTTGCACTAGCAACTAGACCAAAATACTTTGTAGGATTTTGTGTTTTTGCAGTGTAACTCTTTATGGCGATAAATCACAACTAAATGTAAATTTGCATTTATTTGAAGATACATCTCTATGTTTGAGTTTACCACTTTGATTCTGTCGCCACCTGAGCGGTAGTTGAAGTTGGCGAGGGCGCAGAGAGCACTGCCCACCCTCGGGCCCAGAGGTAAGTTAGGATCTGCGCCTGCCTTTAAGATCTCCTCCACTGCCTGAGTGGACACAAGACGGCAACATGATGAGTCTTAAATTTATGCAACCTTTGCCCTGAAGGAGGGGGCGGCGGTACCGCGTCATTGCCGCTCGCTATGGCCAAGGAGAGGGGAGAGTGTCCGCTCCAGAGGAGGTCGGTCCTGGCTCCGTGGGAAAGCAGGAGCTCCACCACTTTACAGGCATTCTGCAAATCACAAATCAAATACATTTCACATGATGAAGGATGTGTGCAGCTGTGAGGGCGTGAACTGTTCTCCCAGACCTCGTAGTCCTCATTTCTCTGGCAGGCTATGTGCAGGGGAGTTCGGCCCCCATCTGTCAGATGCAGTTCCTCAATCACCTCGTCCCAATCTTTATCCCCCAGGAAGGCCTGAAAAGACAGAAACATGCTAACTTTACACTTTAACCTCCTTTATTTAACTGGGGTTGTGTTAAACAGTGAAAGTAAACGTGCACCATATCCGGTTGGTAGATCTCTTCCTGGTCACATGCCCGACAGTCAGGTTCGGTGATAGCGTGCAAAAGCATTTCGGTAATTTGTGCACATTCAGGACCGTGCAACGCTGCAGCAACATGGAGGGGATAAAACCCTTTCAACTGCACAAAGGAAGAAAAGAAACGGCATGCAGGAGGTAATCAAGTGAAGACTAAGATAAACTATATATTACGTAACATATAAGACCTATATTACACTCCAAATTAAATTAATCTAGAAGCATCATCTCACTAGGGCTGAAACGATTAAGCCAATTAATTGTGATTAATCGATTATTGAAATAATGGTCAGCCAATTAGCATCAACTGATTCATGCTAATTACATTAGCAGCTAAGTGTGCTAATGTAATTAAGCCAGAACTGTAAAATAAAATATACATTACACATTTAAGACAAAAAAAGATAAAATCAAAGTTTTGCTTAACTTGGCATTTTTCATAATGTTGTTTCTGTTCACTGTTTTACAAAGATTTTCGAGGTTAAAAAACATAAATAAATAATTTACAGAGATTTGTACCTGCAATGGAAGGCGGATGTCAGTACGAGCTCCACACATGAGCAATTTATGGACGACCTCGGCGTCGCCCGCCATGATGGCCAGGAACAGGACGGGCAGAGGGACCCTGCAGCAGTTGGGGTTGGCTCCGCGGTCCAGTAACAGCATCAGGGTTGTTAAACGAACACGGGGCCTAGCCGAGCACAGACAGCGGTTCTGCCGGCGTTAACAAGCTACAGTTTAGACGTTTAAAAACATTTTTAACTTCATCTTAACGTACATTTCACACCAAATGTAAACGAGTGGCAAAAATGAACGCCGAACAACTGCTGATACATTTGCGCATATCCTCTATCAATGGGAAGCTAGCTAATTCTAGCTAGGTAGAAATTAGCAGCCCGTGAGCCGACTCGAGTCACGTGACTACGATGACGCAGTACAAACAAGACCATATTTCTGCCTAAACACTCATAAATTTGGAGATTAATGTCTGAGTTAGGAAAGTCACTAATTTTAGACTTGTCAAACTCTGAAATGTATTTTTTTGTCCTGAGAAAATGTCAGAGATGAAGCTGAAAATGTTTTGAGTTTTTTAGTGTAAATTTACTTCTGTTTTTTTAGTCAACAGTGGTCCTAAAACGCTGTAGTACAGAACATAATGATGTCTGCTAATTCAGTTAAAGAAAAGTCCTGAAAGAACAAAAACTACATACAAGATGTTTTAGTTCTGCTACAGCAAAATTTAAGATCTGCATTGAACACGTTTGTATGGAAGTTTAGAGCCACTGGCAAAAAATTATAACTTTTTTTTTCAGAATTCTGACTTTAATTTCAAAATTTTGAGAATTAAGGTCAAAATTCTGAGAAAAGAGTGGTCCTAAACCTGTAAGGCCAACTTTTTAAATCCATTTTAAGGTTTTAATTTTAGACATGAATTTAAGAGACCCGGCACAGACCACATCATCGTCACATCATCATCATCATTAGACATAGAACAGCAGCATGTGAGGGGGGAATGATAACTGACTCGATTTCCTCGACAGTCATTTTGCATATAATTTCCTGTGAGTCACACTGCGGGGGTCGCGTGGCCAAAGTCAGCAGCTCAGACGATCGCTGCAGCGTCTCTTCTGATTGAGCGATGTCGCTGCTGCAGATGGAACAGGTGGAGTCAAGGATCTGATTCCGGGTCAGATCGTGGTCTTCGCCCTGCTGCAGACAGAATCACACAGCTTGCAGAAAAACCCAGAAAGTAAAGGAGAATGGGTTCAGCGTGACCTTGGTGCTACCTGCTCTGGGACATCCTGCCCACTCCCCAGAGAAATGTGTTCACCCAACTCTTCAACGGCAATTCCTCTGTTTTCACTCTCGGTTAAATCCTCCACATCTCTGTTGAGCTCATCCTTTAGCTTCCCTAAATCACTGTCCACATCCTCTCTGACACTCTGCTCATCTCCAGATTTGTCTGTGGCATCGTAGCTTTCATCCGTTCTCGTCGCTTTACTCTCCTCCTCCTGAAGTTGCTCAGAGTCTGCAGGGATTTCGCCATTTTGGTCATGTGAGACGAGTGCAGGTGGCTCTTCAGATGCCCTGCAAACAAAATAAATACCGTTGGGGATAACCAATTTTGTGTTTTTCTAAATCCGAAGTAAAAAGTGAGTTATGTGCATTATTTGCAACAAGATCTGAAATGATTAATTATGATTAATCAATTGTTGAAATAATGGTCAACTAATTTAGCAACTGATTAAACATAAACTGAAGGATGCAGATTATAAAAAGGCAATTTTCCTGAAAGAGCAACATATTCAGTGTCTTTAGTCAGAGGCTTCTTCAAATTGGCTGTATTACAGACTGCTTTAGGAGCTCTTTTCTGCCAACAGTCGCCACTATCTAAAATAACTCTGAATAATCAGAATTAATATGCGTTACAACAACATTTAATTTCCCTTTGGGATCAATAAATAATTTTTTATCAATGTTGACGATAGGAGTATTTTTAGTTGCAGATGCTAGATGATAAATTGTCCCAGAAGTTATTGCAATGAACAATAATATTGTTGAGTTGAGACATTTTCCAATAATGTAATGATAATAATGGCAGAATAAAACACGAGTACATTCTCAAAGATCAATAAACTTTAAATTCTATAAAACATTTAACACTGGAACTGGAACTCATTTTAAAAATCTAAAATAAATAAACAAAACAACAAATAAATGAATCATAAAGTCTTTTTAAAAAAGGGGCAAGTTGAGACCAAAACATGAGACTGAAGACTTTAGTCATTCAGTTTTTGGAAGAAAGAGAGAAAAGAGAGAAACAACAAATTGTGCAAATGGAAATTATTGAGTTTGTTTTAAAATTAAGCAGAAGGTTTCTATTTGTGAGGTGATTGTGTAGGCGCATGCTTACTGCTCAGTGAGCTGGCTTAAACTGCTTTGGTCCGTCATATTCTGATTCTGGTTCTGGTTCATGTCAGTAATCTGTGATTCGATGTTCAGGTCCGTCGACTGTGATGGGACGTCGTCCTGGTTGACCGGAGAACTGGTGTCCTCAGGCAGGGACATCGAAATCTTACAACACATGACAGAAATGCACAAATGGGAATGTTTTTCAAGAGCAGCATTTGTGTTAGTGGGGCTACAGTTGATGTGACACAGTCTCAATCAGACACGTAAAAAAGAAGTAAAAAATATCTCTTATTGTCATCTTATTATCGTCACAATATTGTCCATATCTCCTAGCAAGGCAATGCGTTTTCTTACTGGCGTGTCGGCCGGCGGCTCGATCAGAGTGGACTTCAGAGATTCAAAGGGATAGTAGAGGACGTAGCACACAGCCAGAGCGTTCATTCCTTCGTCGTTCATCTTATCAATATCAGCACCGCTATCCAGCAACAGATGGATCACGTCATTATGGGAGTTTACCTGACAGGTGGAGATACAAAGATAGTGGATCCGCTGGATGTTATTGTTCACGTGAGGAAATTTCAACGCTGAGGGGCAAAAAGACGATTCTTCTACATCCCATCCAGGAGAACAACTTTATCAACTAAATGAAACTGGAAAAATTTGCCTGGAACAAACAAATCTGCTACAGTTTTCACAAGTTAAACAGATTTATGTGTTTTGTAATATGAGTATTAGGGCCACTCTAAGAAAGAATAAAAAATAAAATTATGGGAAGAAAGTTTATTCCATAATTAAAGTAATGGAAATATGACTTTAATCTCATAAAGTTATATGCAGCCCTGTCATATGCAATTTTAATATAAAATTTTAATATTTTTATATTAAAATATAAAATGTTAATACATTTTTATATTTAAAAAAAATGTATATCATATTTTTATACTATTTCAGCTTCATTCGTATAATGTTTAGGATTTTATTCTCATAATTCTATACCTTTATTCTCACATTATTTAAACTTTTTTCCTCATAAATATGAGAATATATTTTGTAATAGTATAAGTTTATTTTCATGTTTCAACTTTATTCTCATACAAGTTTATTCTTTAATACTATCATTTTATCTTCATAAATATGAAGAAGATAAACAATTTTTACTGCAATTTTCACTCAAAATATTTTTGAGTTTTTTCTCATATCACGAGAACTTTATTTTCATATCAACATTGGTCTCCTAATATTACTTTGTTTTCATATCATAACTTCATTCTCATAGTATTTAAATTTAATCCATGTAACACTGACTTTATTCTTGTAACTACAACTTTATTCTAGTGTTATTTCAACTCTGTGTAAATATTACCAATTACAAGATATGGTAATATTTACAAAATATATTTTTGTAATCAGAACTGTGACAATGATGATGATGATAATAATAATAATAATGGAGGAACCGGGTTCCTGTCTAAGAAAGAAATTCAAATAATTGACAAATAATCCAAATTATTTTAAATTATTTAATAATTTAAAATAATCATTTTTTAAAATATAAAAAAAGACTTTTACAAAATATATTTTTTACTTTTTTTCTCAAATGAAGTTTTAAATATTTCTCAAATATTTGAACTTCATTCTCATAATACTATAAATTTCTTGTTGTAATACTATAAGTTATAGTATTACAAACATGTCACAAACCTTCATCGAATTTATTCTTGTAATATTATCACTTTAGTCTCAGAACTTATGTTTTAGTTTGGACCTAATACTCCATTGTAGATTTGTTTGGGCAAATAAGAAATTTAGTTTCTCAAATTTCAGTCCACAGTTCACTTGATGAAATAATAATTTCATTTTCCACCATTGTTCTGTTTGTGGCCCGGAGAAAGAAAAACCTAGACACACTCCTGTAGAGGAGGAAAACTCAAACTGGGAGATGTTACGGTTGCAGCGATGAGCGCGGTTTGTCCCCGTGCGTCGGCTACATCCGGGTAGATGGTGCCGTCTTGGAGGATCTGTGACACGGCGTGCAGCTCTCCTCTGAAGCTGTGCTGAATCAGCAGCTCCGAACTGACCTCCAGAGGCCCTTTGGGCCCAAAGCCGTCCCCCTTCAGAGAGAGGAGGCCTTGGACGTTCCAGCCAACAGTTTCAGTCTGCAGCCTGAAACAAACACGCAGGTATAGGTGAAACAGATGCTTCCTCTCCATACAACGAATTCGTGAAGTCAGTTCCCACCTTCATCAAACCTAACAAAATTGGTATCAAACGTGTGCTGCTGTCACTTTAAACATGTCGATAAAAAAGTACAGAAAGAACATTTTGTGCAGCATAAACAGAGTTGAGTTGATTTGGTGAGTAGGGGCAGAGAGGTTCATCTCTAATGTCCTCCTGAAAACTTATTATCTTTAAAATGATGGCAGCAGAAACAAAAAATTTGTCACAAACATTTGACACTAATTTTGTTAGATTTGGATAATGTGTCTGTGGAGGTGGGGCTGATTGACCTTTAAACTTTCATTAATATCTTTGAAGCAAAAGCAGCATGAACTAAAAATATTTGCTGCACAAATGTGCCGAGTTTGACACCAAACGTATTTGATTATGTAAATATGATTGGGGTGTGGGAGAGGCGGTGGTTGACCTTTCACTTTACATGACCTCTGCAAACATTTTTTAATATCTTTGAAATGATAGCAGCATGAACAAAACCACTTTGCCGCACAAACATGTCACAAACATTTGACATCAATTTAGTAAGATTGGTGTAAGGTGGAGGGGCTGTTCTGACCTTTTGACTTTCAAACTTCCATTAAACTCTTCAGAGCAAAAGCAGCACAAACAAAATTTTCTGCTGAATTCACTGACACCTATTTTGTCTGATTTGAAGAAGATGGGGTATGATTGACCTTTCATGACCTCTGGGAACATTTATTACATCTTTAAAGTGATAGAGGCACAAACAAAACATTTCGCAGCACGAAAGACATTTTTGCTGCACAAACTTCTTCAGATCTAATTTTATTAGATCTGAAGAAGGTCAGGAGGTCAACTTCACTGTAATTGTGTCTAACCTGTGTTCGTGTATGTTAGCCTTCAGGCGGATGTGTACAGGGAACTCAGTGAACGGATCCCTTTTGTACCCCTGGTATGGATTAGCTTCTGGCTCCCATTTTTCTCCGTGAAAAACTTGATCCAACTCTCTTTTCCTTCCAGGAGGAAGCGGCAAGTGGTCGCCATCTGTAGAGTACCTCTCCATGCCGGGTGGATAGATGAAGATTTCGTCTGACAGATCTTCGTCTACGACTGACTGAAGTCGGGTTAGAAACAGACGTGATAGGACAGAAGCTGACAGTTTCCCTGTAAGCCTCCAAGGGATTTTTGAAGCAAAAACATTACAGCACATACCTCAATGAAAAAATGCGGACGATCAAAGGACTGCATGAATGCAGCATAATCTGGAAAATTGAGCAGACTAAAGCCTTCTTCTAAAGAGGAGCACAGTTTTAGCAGGCGCTGCCCGATCCACAGGCCCACATCCTGGTTCCCATCTGGATAAGTGAGAACACCGGGACCAAACCTGTGGTCACTGTGGTACAAACCCTGAACATGTGGAAGGAGAACATGCTTTTCTTTTCTACAGAATTCACTTCTTCTAAAATATAAAACAACAAATGAATGAAATAGTCCGAGGGTCACCTGAAAGATGGCTCCACCTGGGTAGTTTAAACGCCCATATCCTTCCTTTCTGTTTAGGTAGAACTTGCCAGTGAACTTGTGGCCAGAGGGCCAGCAGTACTCCCCATTGCCATGTTTGTAGTCCTTGTAGAAAAACCCCTCATAAAACTACAAAAATCCACAGGAGACTTAGTAAATGAAACACCGGCAGTTGGCAAAGCTGTGATGTCACATTACCTCGCCGTTTTTCCAGCTGTAGCGCCCTTTCCCATGTTTGAAGTCGTCTAAAAACTCGCCCTCGTACTTCGACCCGTCGGGCCACTCCTGAACACCGAAGCCTTCTCGCCTCTCTTCGCCGAACTCAGCGACTCTCCTGCCGCCATTGCCGCCGCCATTACCGCCGTCTTCCCTCTCTGTGTCTGGAACAACTTCATCGCTGGACGGCATGTCTGCCATTGTTCTACTACTTGAATTTGTTTTAATGTGATGACAAATATATCAGACTACAGTTTCAGACACATTTTAGCAAAGCGGGCTGTTTATCTGCGTGATAAACGTCAAATGTTGGATGTTAGACATCAGTAATCATTTTACTGTCAACATTGGTTGTCATGACAACGGGGAAGCGCGAGCAGACTGGAACTTTTCACGCATGCGCACCTGGAAGGTCGAAGGGAACCTTATTTAATAAAAATACGTTGTTAAATAATTATTTAGTAAATAAATGTTTAAATAATGTATTTCATAGACTATTTTAAAATGTATATAAATAATTAAAAATAAATTAGCCGATGCAGGTAATTATAAAATGAAATAAATGCATATTTTTCTTTTATTGCTCCCGTTTCTCCATCATCACTGTGAAATATGGTATAAATATATTCACATTCATAAACAGTAACTTAAAATCAAAACTTTCATATAATATTGCCATGGTAGACAAGGAGAGCCCAATAAAGTAGAATTTAATCAATGAGTATTTTTTGTTCTTCACTGATAGAGTAAGTAAAATTCTTTCATAGATAGAAAATGGAGATATATTTCAAGCATTCATGCAAATTTAGAAGTTTACAACTTACCGTCAGTGAAAATCCTAAAACCAACATCTCTGAAATGCTAAACATACATAATGTCAACAAAAATGAAGATATTCTAACACTTAAGTATCTGCACATTTTGGACACAATTTTTAAAACTTTGCATCATCCCTGCTGCTTGCTACAATGCAAAAACTGGTCAGCAGTTATAAGGAGTTAATTGCTGTCATGTCAAAACATTTGCTACAAAAAGCTATTAAAAACAATTCAATGATTTTTTAAAAGAACTTTTGTGACATAGCAGATGAAAAACGGCTGTCAGAGTTGAACCATTTCATCCATTTATTAGTCAGTTGTTCAATCCATGAAAGGTGTAATTATTTAAAAACACTCAGGTTATATTAGGTGTTTATAAACAGCAGTGATCAGAAAAGGCACCACGACAAAGCAGACACTCAGTGCATGCATACAGTATTTACAACAACTTTGTGCTTTTATTGTCCCACAGCCATCAGGGGCTGTTCAACTTGTAACATTATCAGCATTTTTCTTTAAGGTCAAAGGTTAGCAGAATAATGCATTATGGACACTCTTTTTTGTACATAAACTTGCTTTTAGTCAAATGAGGTGAGTTAATTTTAAAATTAATCCATTTGATTTGACAGTATAAAGCTACATACATTATAAACAGATTACTTTCTGACCAAAAAACAAAGAAATTATGCCAGGCGAAATGAAACATTAAAGGATAATTTGTCAATACAGTCACTATAAATGTGCATAAAGTAAAATAAAAGATAAAAATTAGCTACAGGTGATTTCCCTTCAGTTTTCCAATCAGGAAGTTGAGTTGAGTGCAGGACTGAGTGCCATGAGATGAAGTAACATGGGGGATTTCTCAGGCGTTGCTCCTTTCCTCTATTGTAAAGGTTTCCATTGGACCTTTGCTCAGGGCTTTAATGTCTTCCAGCAAACTGATGGGGGTCAAGATATGAGAAGAGCCTGTACAAAGATAAAAAATATTCATTTTGAGTCTAAAATAAACAAGGAGGAACAATCAAGCAGGTCATAAAAAGCATGAAAGGGGTTCTCTTATGCAAAATTCATATTTTACATGTTTTTGTTTTTTCATTTTTGTCTCAAATGCTTTTAAAACAGGCAAAGTACTTAAAAATAAACACCTAGCTGGTTTTTGGCAATAAGTCAATGTTTGTTCGTGTCAAACAAAATGTAAATTCACAAATTACTACCTAGCAACTTCAACAAAGCCCAGACTATCCCAAGAGGAGCTCCAGCACATTTGGTCAGCTGGTCAAATTAAGAACTTTATCTTTTTAAGTTGCTTTTCGAGTTATTAAAGCAAATTAAACATTTTTATTCTTCCATTTGGGGCTAAAAACAGATCAAAATTTTTTGGAAATTAATTAATGTATTTTGGTGTCTGGAATACGAGTGGTTTCAAAACCTTTCAATTGTTAAGTCACAAAATCAATGGACTCAACACCATCACCTAGCAAATCCAGCCCAGCCCAGTTACCTAGCAACCCAATTAGAGTTCCAGCACATTTGTCCAGCTGGTATTAGTGCTGTTTGTGCTGTACAATGGCTGTTGGAAAAGACAAGTATTTTGATGACCTGCTATCCAGAAACCACTTGCTGCATTTTTGTTGGTTGTGCAGGAGGCTCCCCTATGCTTTTCAAAGTTGTACAGGGGTACAATTGCACATCGGTTTGAGGTAATTTTTGAGTGCAAATGTAAACATAGAGTTTGGAGATGTGGCCCGCAGGAGCTTATTAGGTTTTAAAGTGATAAGATGCCCCAAAACAGCTCATTTTAAGAATGATTTTGTGCTGCTGTAATGGACATGGTTCGTATCGCCCATTGACCCATCCTAGCCTGTTCAAGGAAGCACAATAGGTCACATTTAAGGCAAAATTGAAGTTGAATGAGTGGCAAAACCAGATCAACTCCAGAGAAATCGAGTTGCTTTAAAGAGAAGTACTAACCCACGATAACCTCACAGGATTTCACCGCCTGTGTGACCTCGTAAGCGCAGCGCATCTCAGAGTAGGTGATGCCCCCAATAACAAAGATGATGAGGCGTGAACCACTGCGGCGATCATCCTGAGTGCTCGGTTTGTTCCTCTGGCGGGCGCTGAAGAACATACATGTTAGAAAATATAGGAGTTCAAGCAAAAGAACAAGTCTATTCCAAAAACAAAAGAAAATATATTTTGGCCCTCAGTTCAGTCAAATAAAGTTTAGTTAGAGTCACAAATGATAAATGACTGATCATTTTGAGAAATACCTATGCTAGGTTCTTCAATGGAGTGTTAATATTTGTGGAAACACAGATTCCAATATAATTACAAGAAAAAAATATCAAAATATTTACACTTGTAGTGTAATTCTGTTCCAAGACAAGACTGAAAAATTGCTAAAACCTGAATTTGTTGTTATATCCTGATTTAAAAATATTAGCTGGGCACTTTATCATTTCTAGCCAGGCACCACTGTTGGAGGTCCAAAGAGCCCTAAAGTTACTTTTAACGTAAAAATGCAGATCATCAGAGGTGCGAGTAAAAATAAATGAAAAATGAATCCCGGACAAGCCCCCATTTGTTACCAATTTGGCTTATAGTTGGCAACAGAATAGGACAAAACCTGACTTACTCAAATTTATTTGTCAAAAAACTGTTCACTGTGAAAAGAAGAGATGATTATGTCAATAATAGAAAAACAATTACTAACCAAATCACCTCATTATAGGGAGGAACAAACATGCCAAACACAAAGCCCTGCATATTCAAAATGTGAAATAAGATCAGACTAAAACTGAAATACTTGTTACTGCCCCAGCCTTTGAAAACATTGGAAATCTTTTTAAATTAATGAATGTTAGCATGATAAATTGCCACCTTTACGCCTATAAGTGTTTAAAACTGTGTTTTTGAGGTATTTGTGTGCTAAATATCTGGATATTTTACTTATTATGCACAATTTTTTTAGATCTTGCTGTTTTGATGTTGAAATTTGAATGATACATATCAATAGTTTTTTTCTGATGACCAACCTGACAGCGCCGGAGCCATTCCAGGCAGCGGGACACTCTGATTGGTGCGGCCAGTCTCTGGAGTCCAGTTTGTTCTCCACAGCATCCTGAAAATAATAATTTTTTTTTTACATTTTTTGCATTCAGGACTTAAATCTTCTCTGTGGCATACATAAAATAATTTTTATAATCAGAAAACACAAACTGAGTGAATACATGAAGCATTTTTCATATTTTATTTTTCTAAGATAATAAACTCTCCAGACCAACTTTAATTCACGATTTACCCTTTATTTACTCTGATGGTAAATAAAGGGTAGAAGGCACACTTTTAATTTTAGGGGAATTTTTAATCAATTTATCGATGTTCTCATGGAACAAAGCCTGAGTAAAGGTAGTATAGAAAAATAGCATTTCTATACCGTCAGTTTTTTTACATTAACAATGAAAATTTATCATAATGAGCAAAAATTCTTATATAAATAAGTTTTTTACAATAAATGTTGCAATAAATAGCGACCCCTACTACCGATATAATTAACTTAATTATGTTAAATTTAAGTATTCAGGTACTGATCAGATGAACCTGATCAGAACCTGATCATAGACCTAAGAGAGTGTGAATTTTGTAATAGCTTACCATCTATTGGGGGATTCCTTGAACTCTCAGTTCCACATTAATGTCCGCAAAGTGAATTTCAAAAATGTTCAGAGATGATTTTTACTCTTCCTTTTTTTTGCCTGAGAGATTTTATAAATTAAAGCCGGGAAAAGTTGCCAGAAAGCCTGGAAGTTTTGTTTCAGAGTGGATTTTTCTCTTCTATAAACAGTGATGTGGCCAGCAGATGAAGCTGCCGACAGTTTGCTGTGTTTCATTTGCTCTCTGACCTCCATTACGTCTTTGATGACTGGAGTCCACCTGGAAAGGTTGTACGTCTCATCTTGGGATCGATCTCTTCGGTTTGGTTTGCGGGAGAAGAAACTGGGCTGAACACAACAGAACAAAGATGAGCTATGTGGTGGTTAAAGTGTGGACTGTGTGGCCTACAACTGCTTTTTACAACACTGCAAGGTCACATTTTTCCTCAAAAATTAAAAATACTTTAAAGGGGCAGTATTATGCATTTTCTGGGAACATAGCACAATCAAGTATGTTAACTTGTGTTATTATGGAATGAGACAAGTAACTTTTCAGCAAGATATTAGAGCTTATTTTAAGTCAATACTTTCTTACTATTGAGTTAAAATAAACTCCTATTTCTTGCTAAAAAGTTACTTGTAAATTGGTCCTGTGTTATTTTAAGTGTAAGATATTTGCATTAGAAAATAGACCAAAAATACTTTTGTTTTTGCAGACTGGCTCCTCTATTAACCTCATTACCACGTTTTTAGAAGTGTTTCACTGACAAGTAGCTCCTACAATGAGCTCAGCAGATTAACAATTTCAACAGGTGTTTGCCAATTGCTGGTGGCTAGTCTGAAGGAGCTTAGTGGGGGAGGAGCTGCACCTCAAAGGCGGGGCTTGGTCCA